CTCACATGAACCTCACAGAACCCGTTTGCTTGGCACGAGGTGTCTGGCACTACCTGCCATCTGCTTCCTATCTGGGATATCCTTTTCGAAGGGGCGGCAAGCAGAGATCCAAAAGACAACGCGACATCATAAACGATCTTGAGGCTCCGAGTGCACTGAGTGCGCTGCTTCCGGTCTCGGTGCGCGACTTTCGCAGCATGAACCTTGCAACGTGAACTTTTGTCCGCTCCCAGCCTGCCAGCAATGTCAAACCCAAACTGCTGCGGAACGAACATGCAAAAACCGAAATGCGATCCCCACAACAATGTAGCCGCGCGCGCATGGCAAGGGCCTTCTTGAGGCCGGCCATGATCAGGCGGAACATGCGGCGGGCCTGCCGCAAGCCGCAAGCTGGAAGCAGCGAATTTTGGTTGGGAAGAAAGCTCTCCCCCGTTAGGATGAGCTCCCGGGAAGTGTTCTTGGAGTGGGCAGGGCGCGAAGTGCGAAGTCGAGGGGGATGCTCACAGAGTAGGCTCGACACGCATTTGTTGACGCGCACCTCGGGCTCCTCAAGGCGCCGCTGCTTGCGGACATATTCAAATAGGTCCCCACCGCCTACGTACCTGACAGGAGCGCCACCGGGAACACACACCAAATCTGAAAGTTCAGGAACCGTGCAGGGTTGCGCAGGGTTCTCAGATGTTCTCAGAGCCTGAGGACTTTGAGAAGTTTGGGAAACTCAGCGCCATGTCCAGACTCCAGAAGAAACTCAAGCAGGACAGGCTTGAGGCACTCCATGATGACAAACGATCGACAGCGCGTCGAAACCACCTCATGCATCTTCACCTGATCTATGGGGGCAGTGGTCCCTTTCAGCAATCTATGCGGAACAAAGATACTGCTGGTTGGCCTACCTTACGTTCTCTCGGATCCAGAGCAGTGTGTGTGTGTGGCACAGCTCAAATCGAACAATGTACATGCGTGCGTGCCTGCGTGCCTGAATGCCCGAGCGACTCCCTGCGTGCGTGCGTGGGTGCGACGCGACGTTGTGCGACTCCTTGCGTTTCCGAAGCATCTGGCATGTCTCGAAGCAAGGCAACTTCTTCGCCGTAACCCCCACGAAGCTCGCTGCGTGACAAGGGTCAGGAACACAAAGGCTGCACTCTGCCAAGGTGCCCCACGTCTGCAGCAATAATATATGTACGTACACAAAATACCGGAAATACCATGTAAATAACTTGGACATGAAAATACATGAAAACTGAGGACGTCTGTGCTTCTCAAACCTGCAATTGGACTGACGTACGCCAATGACTTCCTGAGGGGCCCATAACTTCCAACGCCTTCTCTTTCAGAGCGCAAAGGCCTGCTTCGCATGTCAATCCAAGCCCTGAAGAGAGGAGCTCGGAGATAAGCCCCCAAGACTGGAACTCAAACGTCGAAGCCTCAACATCGAGAAGCGTCCCACCCCATCATGACACATCATGGCCTGACCCTCAACAGCTTCAACAACACACAACAACATGCAACAACGTACAGCAACGTACAACAACGTATTCGACAAGCATCAGCAACCCTGGAAAGTCCGCTCCCAGGGCTGCGGCGATGTGAGGGTGCCAGAAGCGCTTCAAAATCTGCGCCTGTCAGAGAAGCACACCGGGTCAGCGGTCGGTTTGCGTCGCAGCCCACGCTGCCCCCCCAGTCCTGCCATGTCCTGCCTCATCTTGCAACTTCTTCGCATCGTGCCAGGACCGGTTGCGAAGGATCTGGGCGGGTGTCAGAAAGGCTTAGGCGGCCTAGGGCAATGATATGGCTTTTTTTTTTTTCCTTAGCATGTCGGGTGCCTCCACCCCTGCTCACTGGTCTCATCCCTCTTGCGCTCCCGTCCGGCTTCATCCACATGGGAAGATGGCCCTTAGCCGCGAAGGCCGAAGGGTTGTGTTTCCATGCGTCTTGCATGGTCGAAGCCCAGAAGCCTGGGAAGGTCAAACTGGCAACACGCATCTCGACGGAAGAGACGGTGGCTGTGAAACCTCGCGTGAGAATGCTTCTCATCTGAGCAAAAGAACGCCTTTGATCGCCTACATAGGGCCTACACCGCCCGATACTTCCGCCGAGGCCCCAGCTTTCACAGCACCGTCTCTTCCGTCGAGATGCGGGTTGCAAGCTTGACCTTCCCAGGCTTTGGGGCTTCGACCAACATAGCGATCAACCCCCAGCGGCCCTAAACCCGTAAAGCATCGCCCTAAACCCGACAAGCTTCCCCCAGAAGCCCACTGAAAGCTGTCTCACGTAGTATACACTTGCAAGCCCTACGCCGACAACACGGAAACAACCTGATCCGGCCTCCTTCTTGAGGTCCGTCAGGGCCAGCACCTGTCGCAACCTTTAAGTCAGGATCTCAGGAATTTAGGGCGGGCGTTGGTCAGGGCTGGGGCACAGGCTTACGGTGTCAAGCCAAGATGAAGGGTCGGGCAAGCCTGAAATGCCTGAACCCGAGACTTCTTGAGCTCTGCCCAAAAGCTTACTCTCAAGAGCTTCCAAGGAGCAGCTGGCTGACCTCGTCCCCAAAGGGCATTGCCAGGATTTAACAGCCCCCGACACCCCCAAAACCCGAGAGCTCCTCCGAAACCCTCAAAAGACCCCAAATTGTTGGGAAGCACCTCCAAACCCTTGATTCCCTAGACTCCCAGATCCCAGATTGCCCACCGCTGCCCTCCTAGGGAAACCCGAGACCCGACTCGACGAGGCTGACGTTCAGGCCAGGTACAGCAAAGTCTGCTAGAAACACCTTCCACCACATCCCAGCACCAACACACACACACACACACACACTAAAGTTCTAATAGTTCGACAAGTTCTCGAAGTTCTAGAAGTTCTCGAAGATCTCGAAGTTCTCGAAAATCTGGAAGTTCTCGGCGTTCTCGACAAAAAACACCGAAAACACGAAGGGATTCACCCAAAAAATCCCATGCACCCCAAACGCAACCGAGGCAGTCCCACGCACCCAAACGCAACTACATAATATGGAAGCTTATACGAGAGCTTGCAATAGCCCATATCCCCTTACTCCCAAAATATTGGGCCGCAGGCTGCTAGCTTCTCTGTCCGAGGTATCAGCCTGAGGCGGCAGGATTCGGACAGGGCTTCCTGATTTTGGCGTTCAGGCCAGGGGCTTTGCACGTTGCGCACGTCCCTCTCTCGCATTGTTTGAGGGCCACCGTGGCATCCAATGCTTACTCTGTTTGTTTTGTGTTGGATGCCAATCTATGCATGCCAGTCTCCACAGAAAGAATAACAAGGACGGCAACCCCTTCTCAAACCCCTCTTGATGCAGAGCAATTCTAATTTTACGCGCCGCAATGCTGGCAAATGCTCGAGCATGGGAATGCAGAGGTTTCCTCTCTTCAAATGTTGCTGCATCCTCGAAAATTTGAGCAAGCACTCTCCTCGCTCTGCGGTCTTTTGAAGCTACTACTGCCGAAGTGCGTGGCTACTGAAACAGCGACTGTGACGGCTCTGCACAATGAGATGCAACCGCAAACTAGGTGTCAACATGCATCAAACTGCGTGATTTACGTAAAACTGAAGTAAGGAGCATCATGGTGAACTGGAGAACTCCGAGGGTCCTGGCCTGCAGCGGTGCAGGATCCACCGCACTCAAGTCAACTCGCCTGAAATGCCAGCGCAGTCAAATGCCATCACGAAAGCAGCTGAGAAGTTCAAGCGCCGGCGTTCGCTTTAAGTGGAAGATGCTTGCTGCTGCGCTCTGATCGAGGCTCAGCTTTCGGCCTCTTTGGACAGGGCCTGAGAGCGAAGATTTTGGAGTTCCCGGCAGAATGCCGTGCGCAGCCTCCCTGAGGTCATGGCTTCAAAGGGGACAGCAAGGAGAGCTCCAGGTCAGTGCCTGACACCCCCATACAAGAAGCAACTCAAATCTCAGGCGAGCTTGAACGACGGGTGAAAAAGATCCGTTGTGCAGGCTTCCTTTGGGTGGGACTAGAGGTTACCAAACGAGACCTTTATGCGCCGAGGATTCAAGTTGAAACCGACAGCAAACCCTTTCTTCCTTCTGGGCTCAGGGTTTGAATACTTGAACGATCAGCTCCGAACGCATAGCCGCATAGAAGCATGTAGCCTCATGGAAACCCTCAGTCCCAGCCCTCTTCAGCTTTCATGGCCCTTTGGCCCAACGGCTGCCACATCTTTGAGAATGAACGAAAGAAATGATGCTTCTGGGAAAGAAATACAGAATCATGGGAAAGGTAAGGGCCGGGGTTCAAGATTCTTCGGCATAAACTCTCAAGGCAGTCAGGGCCTATAGGGCATGTACAAGGTTCAGAGGCTTGATATGCCGGGTCCACATCTTCCTGCTAGGAGGAGTGGATCCCTAGAACCCTAAAGCCCTAACACCTAAACCCCCCAACAAATGGAAGGTCACGGCCTGTTGCCTTGTGGCCACGACACGAGCTTAGGGAAGGCTTAAAGCTATGGGTTCTGTCAGGGCTTGAGGTTTACAGATGGGTTTGAAGGTTCCAAGCTTAGACGGATGCAATCTGTGCCTCCGCGGGACGCTGCAGGACCAAGAAAAAGGCGAAAACTCGGAAGGCACGTGGAGCACCAGACACCAAAGATCTGTTTAGCCAAAACAGACCTTTGGTGTCCGCTGCTCTCAAGTGCCTTTCCGAGTTGAGGACTCAGCAGTGTTCTGTTATATATTTAGCTCTAAGACGTCAGGCGATCTGATGTTCAGGCTTGTCGCATGTGGTGAAGTTGCACACAGCTGCACGAGGCAGCACATTCGAGCCAGAACGGTCGCCACCATTCTCTGCATCCAGGCTGAACCGTTCACGCAGGCATCTCCGTGCGCTGTCACTGCTGTCACCGGCGCTGCGGGGGAACGCTGCTTTCTGGGAGTTTTTGGCATTTGATCGCAGGCCTGGCCTCCTTTGGAGGCGTAACGGCCATCGTTACGCAATCAATACTGTGCGCAGGCACAGTGGAGGCTAACCAGATAGCACTCAGACGTTCACACCTGTCAGGATAAGAAATAGATGGATACTTTCAGCTGATGCAAACACGCTTCTTTCTTAAGCGGTCGGCTCGTCCAGAGCCACAACTTGAACTGCTTAACCGCGTGAAGGACAGGAATTGGGCGGAAAAAAACCTAGATTCGGAAAAGCGGCAGAAACTGAAGAAACTGCATTCAAGATTGTTACGACTCAGCTGGTGTGAAGTGGCAACACCGAGCAATGCTACTCTCTCGACCCACACAAAGAAAGTCAGAGCCGGCAAAAAACAAACGGGACCCCGCATCAAGTCTCGCCGAGCGGCCACTCCCGGCCGCGCGCCAGGAATTCCTGAGAGAAAAGGGCGCACGGACCCCGACGGCTTGCTTCGGTCTCTGCCGTGAGGCATAGCAAGACTCTAGACTTGGCGCGCGCCTCATGAGGCTGCTGCACCCGGCATACGCGGTCTTCGCCTTCATCGCATTGCAAAAACAGTCTTCCCGGGTCCGGCTACAGCAGAACTCTCAGAAACATCCGACAAGCACGCGCATGAAAAGCCCAAAACGGATTCCCACCTGCAAGGTCTCAGCAGCGTCCTTCGGCAAGGCCTCCTCGACTCGGCGGTACCTCGGCGGATGCAGAGCAATCTGCTAAACGTGAAGTAACTACAGTCATCTGCAGCGGTTCTGGCGTCTTGCCTTCCCTCCCCGACCCTTCGCGACATCCGCATGGGCCCCCGGGCCAGGCGTGGGCCCGAACCTGCGCGATGGAGAAGCGGGACCTCGGCAAAACTAAAAGCTACCGCCCCTTCAAGCACAGACCGGAGCATCAAGCGCAACCCAGGAGCCAGGGCGTCACTCTGAGGAGGCCGGCGATCAGGCCGATTCCTGCCTGACAGAGCCAAGGTCCCCACCCCCCCCCCGCACTTGGAGGATTTTCACCAGGATACACCCCATACACGATGCGCACAAGGTGACGGTGCTCGACCCAGCGTGTCGGCAGAAAATTGCGAAAGTAGTGTCGGGGGCTTCGTTAAGGTTCTGTTTAAAGCCCAATATTGGGTTTCGATAGCATATGTGTTTGCCACATATCTTCCTTTCCAATCTTCCCAACCTTCCTAAAAATCATCCTCGAAACTCGCCTCGGCTTCCATCCAGAACATGCAGACCAGCACCCTTGCCCCCCGGCTAAAAATTTTCGGACCAATCACTGGGGACCCCCAACAAACCCCCTGCGACCCCTGCTAGGACCTCAACCTCATCCTGAAATCATCCTCTCTCAACATCCCGGCTGCCCACAATCTTCCTAAAATCGTCCTCGAAACAATCCTCAACATCGTCCTAAGACCATCCTCTTCGAAGATTCCGGCTACCCAATCTTCCTAAAATCGTTGTCAACATGATCCTCAAGTCCTACAACCATCCTCGCTCCCGAATGGCCCCCCTCCCGCCGTCCCCCGGAACGAGATGGGGCCCCTCCCCCTTCAAAGTTTCAAGGAGGCCCCGGACAAGCTCGGCCATTTTTCCGGAGCCTCCGCTGCCTTTTCGTGCCCCTTCCGGGCTTCTTTGCCCGGAAAGCTAGAATCATCCCCCAAGCATCCACGCAAAAAAAGCTGTAGAGGAAGATTTGAGGGAACAGTGAAAGATGATGTTGGGATGACGATGCGGACAAAAAAACGGGGTGGAAGGTGCCGGAGGATGATATGAGGAAACGGGGAGCATAGTTTTTAGGTTGAGGGAAAACAAGTATTTGTTTTTGCTTCCACGTTCGGATCCCAACCTACCTGGACCCTAGGCCCTGGACTCTAGACTCTAGCCGCTACTCTCCCCTGATCATCCCCCAACCCCCCCCCCCTGCGCACCGGGGAGGTGAACAAGGGGATCTTGTAGCTCGCAGAGAGGATCTGTCGGCGCAGGTGGTGATCGTCCAGGCCCTGCATCCAGGTTTGGCAATGAGTGGCACCGCGATGAACTACGGCTACTTCCGGGCTGGGACGACAAGCTGACCAGCTGCGGCGCGCTCAGGCGCCGAACGGGAGTGCCTTAAACGGCTCGCACCCGCAGATCATGATGTACAGGATGACCCCGCAGCTCCACAGGTCGGCGGGGTACGGCACCTCACGGTGTGGGCTTCAAGGGGGGCTCTCACCCAAGATCGAAGATCGTCGACGCCGACCGCGCGGAAAGCGCTGCCCTCTGATGGAAGCTGCGATCCGGTGACAGCTGGGGGCGCTGCGTACCCTCCGCCTCGAAAAGCCACACAGCAGACAACAGCAGGCAACAGCACAACCCGAACGGCGGCTTATCAGATTGTCAACATCCGCCAGTCGCTCCACGACGAACTCGAAAGGCCATGCTCACCCAGATTCCTCTTGCATCGACTTCGAGGTACCAGTAGGGAGGATGACGAGTCGGGTGCTAAACATCAAAGCTGAACCCCCGCCGTGCCTTGTAAAACTTCTGGGGCGGCATAGTGCACAGTCCCACAAGTTGATGTGATGTGCGTTTCCCTGCGGCTCAGGGGCTTGTAGTCTTGCATTGCAGGGTTCCGTGGTAGAGGAAAAAACAGTGCAGGCTTGGAAACTTGAGTCAATGGCAAGTGCCCAGAGTGCCCTATATGACATACAGTCGAAGTGTTGGGAAGTGCGTTGGCTTTGGCGGCCCAAGGCTTAGGCTCCACAAACACTGGGTGCCCCGGCCCAGGAGCGAGTGCTGTGCTCAGGCCGAAATCTGCGATTTTTACGTTGCCCTCCTCGTCCAGGAGGAGGTTCTCGAGCCTGTGCCGGTTCTCACACTCCAAGTTTGCGGTGACCCGGTGGGCCTCCGAGAGCTGCTAGGAGTTTGGGAAGTTCGGGTCTTCGGGGCAGGATCCCACGTCGGCACCGTGCGGAAAGGTGAACAGGCGGACCTTTCCCGCATTCCGTCTGCCCGAGAAGCTCCGGCGCTGTCCGCCCCGTGCTCCTCCCGTTGCCATGCCCTATCGAAGGTTGGCGGGTGTGCGTTCCTCTCTTTTGTCGAAAAACGGCCTCCTCAAGTCGGTGAGCAGACAGCGCCCTGCTTTCCACTCCGCCGGACCAACATTCCTCCCCCGCCCCCCCCCCCCCCGAGAGATTCCGCACTGTTCCTCGAGGAAGGAGATCCTGCGGGGAAACTTGAAAGACCCATTTGCCCTTCCTTAGCCAGGAACCGTTCAACTCACATGAACCTCATAGAAGCCCGTTTGCTTGGCACGAGGTGTCTGGCACTACCTGCCATCTGCTTCCTATCTGGGATATTCTCTCATACCCTTTTTCAAAGGGGGCGGCAACCAGAGATCCAAAAGAGCAACGCGACATCACAAGCGATCTTGAGGCTCCGAGTGCACTGAGTGCACTGCTTGAGGTCTCCGTGCGCGACTTTCGCGGCATGAACCTTGCAACGTGAACTCTTCTCAGGAGATCTTTGGTACCCAGTTCTCAGACAATGAGTCTAGTCTGATCTTCTTCCTGTTGGACACTGCAAGGGGGCGGCCAGCTTCTTCACGCTGCTCCCAGCCCACAATGTCAAGCCCGCAAACTGCTGCAGAACGAACATGCAAAAACCGAAATACGATCCCCACCCAACAATGTACCCGCACGCGCACGCGCGCGCATGGCAAGGGCCTCCTCGAGGCCGGCCATGATCTGCCGGAAGAGGCGGCGGGCCTGCCGCAAGCCGCAAGCTGGAAGCCGCGAGTTTTGGGATCAAGGAATCAAGGCTCTCCACTCGCCACCTTTAAGATGAGCTCCCGGGAAGTGTTCTTGGAGTGGGCAGGGTGGTTGAAGGTGAGGGGGGTGCTCACTGAGTAGGCTCGACACGCATTTGTCCATGCGCACCTCGGGCTCCTCAAGGCCCGGCTGCTTGTGGACATATTCAAATAGGTCCCCACCGCCTACGTACCTGACAGGAGCGCCACCAGGAACACGCACGAACTCTGAAAGTTCAGGGTTCTCAGAGCCTGAGAAGTTTCAGCAGTTTGCGAAATTCAGCACCATGTCCAGACTCCGGAAAAACCCAAGCAGCACAGGCTCCGGTGAGGCACTCCATGATGATGAACGATCGACAGCGCGTCGAAACCACCTCATGCATCTTCACCTGATCTATGGTGCGGACAGCGGTCCCTTTCAGCAATCATGCCGAACACAGACACTGCTGGTTGGCCTACCTTACGTTCTCTCGGATCCAGAGCAGTGTGTGTGGCACAGCTCAAATCGAACAATGTACATGCGTGCGTGCGTGCCTGCGTGCCTGAATGCCCGTGCGACTCCCTGCGTGCGTGCGTGGGTGCGACGTTGTGAGACTCCTTGCGTTTCCGAAGCATCTGGCATGTCTCGAAGCAAGGCAACTTCTTCGCCGTAACCCCCACGAAGCTCGCTGCGTGACAAGGGTCAGGAACACAAAGGCTGCACTCTGCCAAGGTGCCCCACGTCTGCAGCAATGAATTCAAATATATGTACACAAAATACCGTAAATACCATGTACACAACTTGGACATGAAAACTGAGGACGTCTGTGCTTCGCAACCTGCGACTGGACTGATGTAAGCCAATGACTTCCTGAGGGGCCCATAACTTCCAACGCCTTCTCTTTCTCAATCAGATCGCAAAGGCCTTCTTCGCATGTCAACCCAAGCCAACCCTGAAGAGAGGCCAAGACTGGAACTCAAACGTCCACCGCATCATGACACATCATGACCTGACCCTCAACAACTTCAACAACATACAAGCAACATACAACAACATACAACAACATACAGCAACATTGCGACAAGCATCAGCAACCCTGGAAAGTCCGCTCCCAGGGCTGCGGCTATGTTGGGGTGCCAGAAGCGCTTCAAAATCTGCGCCTGTCAAAGAAGCACTCCGGGTCAGCGATCGGTTTGCGTCGCAGCCCGCGCTGCACCCCCAGTCCTGCCATGTCCTGCCTCATCGTGCACCTTCTTCGCATCGTGCCAGGACCGGTTGCGAAGGATCTGGGCGGATGGAAGGCACCGGCTGGTGCCAGAAAGGCTAAGGGTAACGACATAGCATGGACATAGCCTTTGTGCAGGCCCTACGTGAGATTAGCGCCCTGAGAAGCCTTGAGAATGCTTCTCATCTCTGCCCATGCACGCCTATACGGCCCGATACCTCCACCGAGGCCCCAGCTTTCAGAGCCACCGTCTCTTCCGTCGAGATGCGGGTCGCAAGTTTGACCTTCCCAGGCTTCTGGGGCTTTCGGCTATGCAAGATGCATGAAGCACAACCCTCCGCCCTTAGCGGCTATAAGGGCCATATTCCCATGTGGATGAATGCGGACGGGAGCGCTAGAGGGATGAGACCAGTGAGGGGTGGAAGCACCTGACATTAAGTACCTACGAAGACGACCAGCAATCGTCGGAAATCCACGGCTGCACCCGGCTGCAATGCCAGGCATCACATCCGAATCCATAAGCATCTTTACATCCAAATCCAGAACCATCATTTAAGAATAGGCTTCCCAAAGAACCCATAGTCCTCCTCATACTTGTGAGGCCCTGAGCCGTGACATTGATCCCCGCCCCGCCCCTTCCGCACCTTTGCAAACGAGCCTGCGCCAACCGTGGCCCCTGTTTCAGTCGCAGGTTCTTTGTTGCTTAATGCCAGGGCATGCTGTCAGAGCTGGGCTTGGCAAGCCCAGGGCTGCTTGGCAAGCCCAAGAAGAGAGCAAAGGCCCCTGCCTAAGGTGTAGTCCCTGAGACCAGCCGCCTGCGATGCAAAAATGAAGCCCCAGCTCCCCCGGCTCACATGAAAAGCATGAAAAGGGGCCTTGGCCGACAGAGGGGCAGGGGGGGGGTTACACCATTCTGCACAGGTGCAAGGCGGCAGAAGCTAGCTGGCAGAGAGAGCAAAGAGAAAAAGGAATGCCTCTCGGATCACCGCAGGGTGGGGAGGTCCGTCTGAGTTGAAGCCGCAAGCCGAATTTCAACATGAGCTCGGCCTAAGCCAAAACCTACGCGGACTTTTGCAGCCGCCCCGGCACACACGTTAAGGGGTATAAAGAGGGACCCCTGGAAGGGACTACCTTAGTCTTATTCCCCTATTCAACCCCTCTACATACAGAAATATATACACACATATGTATATACATATATATATATATATGTATGTGGTTGCGCGCTGGCGGCCCCCCCCCCCTCCCCCCTTCCCCCCCCCTCCCCCCCCCCCTCCCCCCGTGCTGGAGGGGTGGTTATGGGTTGGTTTTAGGGTGTAGGGATTTAGGGTTTTAGGGTTTAGGGTTTAGGGTTTGGGTTTAGGGTATAGGGTTTAGGGCTTAGGGCTTAGGGCTTGGGGCTTAAGGCTTAGGGCTTAGGGCTTAGGGCTTAGGGCTTAGGGCTTAGGGCTTAGGGCTTCGGGCTTAGGGCTTAGGGCTTAGGGGTTAGGGGTTAGGGGTGAGGGGTTAGGGGTTAGGGGTTAGGGGTTAGGGGTTAGGGGTTAGGGGTTAGGGGTTAGGGTTTAAGGTTTAGGGTTGGTTTAGGGGAGACCGTAGACCATGGGGGGGTGGTGGGGGGGGGGGGGGGGGGGCCCGAGAACGCACAGCGCACAACCATACATACCCAAAAAAGCTCCCATATACATATATATATATACATACATATATATAAATATATACATATATCTCTCTCTCTCTCCCGAAAAGAACCCTGAATAACGCCTGAGGTCCCTTACAAAGGGTGGTTGCCGGATCAAAACATAAAAAAGTACCAAAAACATAAACGGCCGAGGGTCTAGGGCTTAGGGACTTCGGGCTTAGGGTGTAGGGTTTAGGGAAGAGGGTATGGGGTTTAGGGTTTAGGGTTCAGGGGTTTAGGGTTTAAGGGTTTAGGGCCCAGGGTTTATAATAGTTTGTCTTTGTATCGCTCCTTTTTTTTTGCGCTTTGTTGTTTTTTTTACCCCTATCCACCTTACAAGGGTCCCTCCTTTAGTCCCTTGAACATGTTTGGCCTGCGGATCGTGGCCCAAACCGAGGAGCATCATCTCCTCCAGCTGCTCAAAGGCCTCAGACAATGCTTGCGGGACTCCGTTTCCGAATTCGTTTAAGCTAACCACAGCTGCCGGTGTCCGAGACGGTCGGAACGTGACTTCAAAGGGGGAAGTTACTTTGGGCTTTGGACGGGTTTGGGGTGGGAAGGGGCAAGGCTCTCAACATTCAGCCCGAGTCCAGCTGAGGCGGGCGCCGAGGAGCGGAGGCCTGCGGAAGGGCCACGGTGACCGTTACTCAGCCCTTTTTAGGGGTTCGGGATGGTTCGGGCCTTATAGGGGGCCTCGTCTTGATGCAACATGCGCTTGTGGCACACAGCAGGGAAGCTTCAGGAGCTGGTGGACATGCGAAGGCAAAACAGACTGAAAGCACACAAGCAGAGCAACTCTGGCGAGTTGCACAAGCCTCCGACTGATAGTCTTTTGTTCTTCTGCTGTCTTCTGGGTTCGGTCAACTTTCGAGGTTCCGAGACGGACGTGCTTTAAACCTTGAAGCTTCAACTCTGAGACCCAGCGCCTAGCACAGCTTGCAGGCGGTTCTCGAAGGCCACCTTCCAGGCCCCGACGTCCTCCGTGGAGGGTCAGGGCGGAAGGGATCTCTTGGAAGTGCGCGTTGGCAAACGGGGCTGAGAAGAATGAAGACGGGGAAGAGTTCGAGGCCCTGAGGCGTTGCGGGGTTCCGGCGCGGAGGGTCTACGAGTCTACATCCTGAATAGGGGACCTACATTGGCACCGCCCTGCACTATTGGCGGGCTGTGCGTCCAGGGGATTCAGGGTGTACGGCGCCTGCTTAGCCGAAGCTCTTGAAGTCACACCAGGGATCATCACCCATCCTCCGCCTTTCTTCCTCCGCTGCTAGCCTCTCTGGGTACTGCTTGGGGCGTGTGGGCCCTGGCTCGAGTGAGATGCCAGCTCGAAATCTGAGCTCATCCCGTCCTCCTGTCACGTCGAAGAAGTTCGAAAGTCCCCAAAGCTCAAAAAGTTTTAAGCCCCCCCTCCCTCAAAAAAACGCAGAAGACCTCACTCAAAACAAAAATGGAAGGCTGCAGGCTCCGGCCTTCCGAGGTCTGGAGGCGACGAGCAGAGCGGCGACCTGGACAGCGGAGCCACAACACGGGGGGGGCCCTTCCGGGCGCTCTGCGGGCGCTCTCCAGTAGGCTTGCGAGGGTTGGAAGGCTGTAGAGGGAATCTATACTCTCCAGAGAGCGATGTACGCAAGTAGGGGAGCTCCAAGCGGATTCTTGTTGGTCCGAGACTTGGGGTGTAAGGGCCATGGGACTCCTGCTTTGGTCCAAGGACATGGCCCCGAAGCCCATTTCAGCAGCTTGAAGCGCTTAGGTGTTTTCGAAGGTCTGGGGTTGACAGCCTCTTGCGGCCCTCTGCATTCATGGCTTCGAGCTTTTGGTCGTGCTTAGGGCTCAGGGTGTCCCGGAGCTGCAATCGAATCCGATGGCCCTGCTCCTCAGTTCAGACTACGAGTGTAGTCGGATGCCTTTTGGGCTCGGGCGGGCTGAGGCTGCAGGGACAAACAAGCGCGAAGCACGCACATGTCTATAGGGTCAGCCTCGCGACGAAGGCGCTCGCCGCTGGCTATCTTGACAAAGGAGCGCCCGCCATATTGGAACCAGGGTCAGCAGACGACCCGAAGCACCCGCCAAGTGGACACGCCGCGCTAAGCCCTTTAATACCAAACCTCTGAACCCCATGTACCGCAGCGGGGCGCGCCAGGATCGGTCTCCAGTTGCGCTGGGTCATGTGCAGTCGTCGATTCCTGGCTCAAGACACAGCAGAGCTGTCGAAACCGACAAGACAAAGCCTCAACCCTGGACTCTTGCAAGGCCCTGAGCCTCCCAAAGCCAGAAGCTTCAACCCTCTAACTAGGCCGCTACAGTCAGGACAGCAGGCTACACTTTGGGGACAGGGTGCTTAGGGCAGCCGAGCGTAGAAGCCTGGAGGCCTCCCGCACGGCGTATCCCCTAACCGTAACCGTCCTAACCCGCCACGCCCAGGCCCTGAACGCCCCCCAGGCAGAAACATGGCAGCTCGGACCGCTCCAGCAGCGCGTCGACGTTCTCCATGGCGGAATCACAGATCTGTGGCAGGCTGAAGTGGGGAAAGCACTTTGGACTTTCCACGGACCTATCTTCGCTGGGCCCACAGCTGTCCGACCCTTTTAACCTCCACCGGCCCTAAACCCTTGAAGCAGCGCGGCTCAGCTCTGGAACTAAACACGAGGTTGAAGAACAAACCTCAGAGACCCGAAAGCCAACGCGCGTGGCATGCAGAAGTGCCTTGCTCGGAGCCTTTCGCCTAAACAACACGAGGCTGTTCATAAGCAGTCCACCGCCAATAAAACGTGCACTTGCCCAAGCCCAACGCCGAGAACAATGAAAACAACCTGATCCGGCCTCCTCTCTGTAGTCGGTCAGGGCCAGCACCTGGGTCAACCTTGAAGTCAGGATCTCGGGGGTTTAAGGCGGGCGTTGGTCAGGGCGGGTGCAGGCTTTCGTTGTCAAGCTCAATTGAAGGGCCGGGCAAGGCTACCCCTGCCGAACTTCCGCCCGAAATCTTACTCTCAAGAGCTTCCAAGGAGCAGCTGGCTGACCTCGTCTTTCAGCGCCTCCCAGGACATTGCTTGATGGGGGTGGAACCCTCACCCCTAAACCCCAACCCCCCCAACACTCTGTGGACCAGCACAGGCTGGTTTCTCGATGGGCCAAGACCCTCCTGCCTCAGAACTGCCCAGCTAAGGCGGCTAAGAGGTGCCCCCCTGTGCCTGTTGCCTGAAGTCCATGCAGGACTTCAAGCCCGACAACCCCCCAATCTTACAAAGTTGGGACGCACCTCCAAACCCTAGATTCCCAGATCCCAGATTGCCAAAAGAGGCCCTCCCAGCCCAAGGACCCCAAGACCGAACACCGCTGATGTCCAAGCCAGTTTCAGCAGAATCGACCCAAAAACATCTCCCAAGACATCCCAGCACCAACCCCGTCCCCGCACACACACACACACACACACACTCACACAATCACACACTCACACACTCACGCTCACTCACACTCACTCACACTCACTCACACTCACTCACTCACACACACTCACACGCACTCTCACTCTCACTCTCACTCTCACTCTCACTCTCACTCTCACTCTCACTCTCACTCTCACTCTCACTCTCACTCTCACTCTCACTCTCACTCTTACTCACTCACTACACTACACTCACTCACTCACTACACTACACTACACTACACTACACTACACTCACTCACTCACTCACTCACTCACTCACTCACTCACACACTCACACACTCACTCTTTCTTTCTTTCTTTCGTCACTCTCTCTCTCTCTCTCTCTCTCTCTTTCTTTCTTTCTTTCTTTCTTGGGGGCGTAGGGGCGAACCCCCTGGCTGTGCGCTTGCCCCGGTATTCGGGGATCCTCGGCTTTCCTCTCTCTCTCTCATCTCTCTCCCTCCCTCTCAGTCATTCACACCTTTTGCACCTGCCTGCGGCTTCCTCCGAAATCGCTTCAAAAGGCGATTCATGGAGAACTTCCTGGATCGGCGCGGGCTTCGGGCTGAGGGCTTGAGGTTCGGGTTTGGGGTTTGGCTTGCAGTGGAGAGTTCGGGGCGCAGGGCTTCATCGAGGGCCTTCGGGGCAATCGCGGCTCAGGAGTTCAGGGCCTCAAATGGCTTTACTAGTAAGGAGTGTACAGGCCTTCGACTTCCGAAAAAGTGTTCAGGACGGCGGCGCCTTGGGGCTCCGAGGGTACAAAATGGCACGATGTGAGAGTGGCTTTTGAAACAAAGCTCGGATGTTCTTCATGGGATCGAAGCCTTCTCCCCCCTCCCAAGCCCTGAAATGCCCTGAACACACTTTCAAGCTTTCAAAAAGACCCTGAACTCTCAACCCCCGCCAAACTCTCCCCAAACCCTGCTGCCGTGCGCCTGCAGCAGGTGCCCCAGACATCCTCCCCAAGCATCCAGGGTTGAGGGGTGCTGTCGCGTGGCCCACCTACCCTGGAATCATGAATGGTTGTTGCAAGCCGCTACCCGGCCATACTTGAGGGGACAGGTTTAGAGCGGGGATTTCAAGGGCCGTTTCCGCAACACCTCAGGACCCTGACAGTACAGCACAGTCCTGGCCTCTACATTCAACACCCTTTGAGCCCGGAAGCCTACTGGCAAAGCAGCCCTGCACCATGGAAAACGCACGGAGCCCCAAACCCCCTTACCTTCAAGCGCACATCCCGAAACGGTTCAAGGACGGGATTCAAGAAGGGGAGGGGGGGCCCAGGCCTCATCGAAGTCTGTTGGCGCGAAAAGGCCTTTGGCTGGGGTCACCGCGCAGACTCCCCTGACCCCCCGACCCCTGCCACATGGAATAAAGCCCTTTTGCGCTGAGCATTCAGGAGATCTGGCAGAAGACCGAAACACCCCGCTTGGAGAGGTTCAGAGGCCCGGTCCGCCACCTGCCGTTCGCACCAGGCCGAGTGGCCTCGATTGTTGGGGCGAGTTTGGGGAGGCTCCAAAACTGTTCGGGCTCTGGGCTTTCAAGGGGCGATGAGGGGTTTCGGAGAGCTCGGGGGTGCTCGAGCACGGAAGAAGGCCAAAAGCTCCGCCAAGGCCGGCGCTCCTGCCAAGACTCATCCTGGCCGCATTCGAGGTGTGTGAAAGGGTTGGCTTATAGGGTTAGTAGGAGGGGGGGTCGGGGGGGCGGGGGGCGGTGGGGTCCCGCGCACGTACTTTTGGTGCCGAGGGCTTGAAGTCCGGAGAGGTGTACACTGTTCAAAAGCGAATCGGCGAAGCTCCGCCGGATAAAAGCCCATCTGGTGCATAGAGTCCCCAATCGCCCAAAAGCCCCTCTAAGCCACTATCCGCCCCCAGCAAGAGGACAAATAAAACACCGAGCTGTCCCTCTTTTCGCGGCTTGCCCGAGAAACTGCCCTTCCACGCACCCCAAAAGCCAAGCCGTAAGCCACGAAGCACGAACGCCGCAGATCCAACGGACCAGGGCTTGCCCCGTCATGCCCCGTCTTCGGGTGTAGCCATAGGGCTGCTTGGGGCTTCGGGATGCTTATCCGGTTTAGGAAGTTTAGGGTTTAGGGCTAGGGTCCAGCATGGCAGCAACTTCGCTGCCTGGTCCACGCGGTTGCAAACATTCTCGACCGCTCCTGCTGCATCGCAGCTTCGCTCTGAACGCCTAATTTTACACCCGCAGACTCGCAAATCTCTCGCCTATAGGGCTTGGGGCTTTTTGGGTGTAGGCCCACCAGAAGAACGCAGGCCTGGAAGATTCTCGAAGCATGCAAGCAGAACTGCAGAACCCTCTCAGCAAGAGCCTTCAGCTCAGGCACGCAACAGTAAATAGAGAGAGAGAGAGGGAGCGAGTCAGAGCGAGAGAGAGTCAGAGAGGGAAAAGACAAAAATGACACAGACATCCGACCCCCCTGACCCGAGTGCGGGAAGCCTGCATCCAACATTCCACAACGAAAACAAAGCAAAACTCCCAAGCCGCCAAAGCTGGAATAACCCGGCCTCTGTGAAGATGCCACATGCATTTGCCCACCACGGTACGAGCACTCAAGATTCCCAAACCCAGCCGTGAACGATCGGACATGTCCTGTTCATCCCCGGAATCCGCGCGACTTCGGCTTCGGGGAAATTTGGGGGGCGCTGCTGCTTCGGCCTGCAACAAGAGCATCCCGGCCAGGCTCCTGTGGAGTGCTGTCGTTCGGGACAGCAGGCGCATAGCAATTCTAGCATACGCTCCTGCCTCTTGCCACTTTGCAAGCATTTGTTAATCAGACCGGAGAGGTGCAAGGGTCAATATCCCTAGAGAGACAGTTTATAAGTTTATGCTTGCATAAGCACCTGGCAGTAGCATGCTGTAGTGCAGTCAAGTCCAGCACATCGCTGCTGAACGAAGAAAACACGGGTTTGCAAAATAATCTGATACACAAATGTCCTCAGGCAAGCGCTGATTCTGCAAGACCTTAAGCCCTAAGCTCCAAACCCAAAAGTGAGCAGCAGCCACTCAAAACTGCCCGCGCCAGCATAGCCAGCTGACTCTTACTTGTGCCATGTGACAAGCAGATGCCAGTCTGAGGCTACTCGTATGGGCCTAGGGCCTACGCCTATACCTCAAACCTGCCACATAGGTAGTGTCTGTGTACACTTGCAACTCAAGAGAGAGAACGAACCGCCTGCCAACGTCAATCCCAAACCCCTCAAAATCAAAATTCAACCCTTAAATACCCTAAGCCCGAAGGGCGAACACGCGAAATTCCCTGAGACCCGCGGAACGTACACCGGACATGACCGGACCCTGTCGTCGCTAAATGCACAAAACCCCCGGTCCGAGGAGTTTGGGGCAGCTCTCGCCGCACGGCGATCGGCGCGTCGGCGGCGCATTCGTTGGACGACACCCTCAGAGACTCGTCCGGAGCGCTAAGCGTTTGGGGAAAAAAGGGGGGGCCCGGGGCATGGAGTCAAGGCATGAGACATGGGGTTGCGCACTGCGCACCCAACGTGATCCAGATTTGTATGCCCTCGAACCTTAAACCATCTTAAACCCCTAGAGCTCCGATCTCTCTTCTCTCTTTGTGAATCGAGGCTTCAAGACACAGCCTGACTTGCCCGGGATGTTCCATTCAACCCGTTGAAACCGACAGCAAACCCTTTCTTTTTTCTGGGCTCAGGGTTTGAAGACTTGAACGACCAGCTCCCAACGCACAGCCGCATAGCCCTATGGAGCCGCATGAAAATCCTCAGTCCAAGCCCTAGAAGAAAGCACAAGCCCTGACGGAACGAAGATCAGCGCCTTTATGCACTGCGCGCCCCGGCACCCCGGCATGAAGGGGGCCTGGCGATTGGGGCTTATAGGTTCCAGGGTGTTCCGAGAGACTGAGCCAGGGTTGCTTCAACAGCTTTCATGACCTATGGTGGCCATACCTTTGAGGATGAACGAGGGAACAGCTGCTTCTGGGATAAAACTCGAATCTTGGAGAACTTGTAAGGACCGGGGGTCAAGATTCTCCGGTCGTCGAACTCTCAAGGCTTGTAGGGCATTTACAAGGTTCAGAGGCTTGAGATGCCGGGCCAACATCTTCCTGCTAGGAGGAACCTACAATGAGTCAGTCAGGTTTCGCAACGTTTCCCCGCGGCGCTTCAGCACGACCCTGTCCAGCCATGGAATCCTGGAACCCTAAACGAGTGTAAACCCCTAACAACTAAAAATGGAAGGTCATGGCCTGCTGCCTTGTGGCCTTGACACCAGCTGAACAAGAATTTGTTTAAAGCTCTATAGGATTGCGGTTTTACAGATTGGCTTCGAAGGTTTCAAGCTCGGACGGATGCGACCGGTGCCTCTTCGTCACGCTGCTGGACCGACATGGCGAAGCAACAGAGCTGTAAAAATTTGGTGTCTGCTGTTGAGGACTCGGTGGTGTTCTGCAATGTGTTTGAAGACGTCCAGCGGACTATTCAGGCTCATCGCACGTTCTGACGTGCACACAGCTGCACGAAGCTGTACGTTCGAGCCTGGGGCGGTCGCCAGCGTTTAGAGCACGAGGCTGCACTGTTCAAGCATGCATCTCCGTGCGCTGTCACTGCTGTCACTGGCGCTGCGGCGGGAAGAGTGCCAGCAGCTGCTTTTTTGGGAGTTTTGATCGCAGGCTTGGCCTCCTTTGGAGGCATAACGGCCATCGTTGTGCAATCGAGTACTGTATAATACTGTGCCGGAGGCTATCACAAAAATGGAGCTCAGAGCTTGATTCATCCCAAAAGCGGGGCACCTGTCAAGATAAGAGAGGGATTGATAGTGTCAGTCGATCCAGGAAGCCAAGCAAGTATAGGTGGTCTTAAGTAAGTTGTTCGTGCAGAGCTCAACTTGAACTGCTTAACCGCGTTCAATTATCGGAACCTTGCGGTGACTGATGGCTTGAGGAAGCATGTCGCTTGCTCCTGGCCTATCCGGAACAGACAACATCTACTTGCTCCAGGTGCGAAGGGCGCAGAGATTGCTACAACTCAGCTGTTTGAAGTGGCAACACAGAGAAATGGAACTCCGACACAGCCTCATGACCAATGATGTTTGCTTAAGAACAGCTTTGGGGCATGACCTGAGCAGCTCAAGCGCCAACCTGAAATGCCCTGAACACACGTTCAAGCCTTGACAAAACTCTGAACTCTCAACCAACCCCCCCCCCCCCACCCCCCAAAACCCTGCTGCCGTGCGCCTGCTGCAATCACCCCCTCAACCCGAGATGCTTGGGGAGGATGTCTTGAGCACTTGCTTGCCAATTGCTCAAGAGATCCTCTCCAAGCATCTCGGGTTGAGGGGGTGCTGTCGCGTTGGCTGTTGCAAGCTGCGTCCTTGCCATACATGAGGGCTTAGGCGCATAAGGGTGAGGATTTGAAGGGCCGTTTTCCACGACATGTCAGGACCCTCTCTCGGCTTATATAAATGTCTGAAACCCTTTGAGTCCAGAAACCTTCCAGTACCCCAAACCCTCCCTACCTTCAAGCGCGAATCCCGAAAACATCTGAAAACGGATCAAGGAAGGAAGGGACGGAGGGGGGGCGGGGGGGAGCGCACAGGCCTCGTCGAAGTCGGTTGGGTCGAAAAGGCCTTTGTCTCGGGTCCTCGATGTGGGGATGTGGGGGGGAGGGGGGGGGGGTCTCGAGAAGTTCCTGGCAAGGAAGCAGGGCAAAGGCTCTGAAGCCCGACCAGCCAAGGCCGGCGCTCCTGCCAAGCCTCGCCCTGGCCGCATTCGAGAGGTGTGATGGGTTGGGGGGTGGGGGGGGCATGCTCTGAAACCTTGGTCCGGCTCGGGGTATGGGGCTTGGAAGGTCCGACACGTGCTTTCGTGCCGAGGGCTTGAAGTCCGGAGAGGAGGACACGGTTCAAAAGTGATGCTCCGCTGTAGATAAGCGCCTATCTCGGACGTAGGGTCCCTAATCGCCGAAAAGGCCCTCTCCCTCAACCGCGATCCTAACCGTTCTGCCCTCTAAGCCACTATATCCGCCGGCAGCAAGAAGGCAAAGAAAACAGCGAGCTGTCCCTCTTTTCGCGGTTTGCCCGCGAAACTGCCCTTCCAAGCACCCCAACAGGCAAGCCGTAAACCACGATTCACGAACACCGCAGATCCAACGGACCAGGGCTTGCGGGGCGTGATAGCAAGAGGGCTGCTCGGGGCTTCGGGATACTTATCAGGTTTAGGGTTTAGGGCTAGGGTCTAGGTTGGCAGCCAGCAACTTCGCTGCCTGCTCCACGAGGTTGCGAATCTTCTCGACCGCTCCTGCTGCAACGCAAGGGTGACAGGGCAGTGGGAAGCAGTCACAGGGAGGCGGTTTGCTCGTTGTAGCTCAACTCCCCCTTCTAACAAACAGTTTCGCGGTGAACGTCTAACTTCAGCTCAGGCACGCGACAATAAAGAGAGAGCGACAGAGAGAGGCACATCCGACCCCCAACCCGAACGCAGGAAGCCTGCAAAGCAAAACTCCCAAGCCGCCAAAGCTGGAGTAACCCGGCAGCTGTGAAGGCGCGACATGCATTTGCCCAGCACAGTACGAGCACTCAAGATTCCCAAACCCAGCTATGAACCATCAGACATGCCCAAGTCATCCCCGGCATCGGCGTGACTTCGGAGGGGGGGGGGGGGGCTGCTGCTGTGGCCTGCGAGAAGGGCATCCAGGCCGGGCTCCTGTGGATTGGTCAGGCACCAAGCATAAGCGTGCCAGAAACTGCCCAGAAACTGCTACAGCGGCGGCTCTTCCGGAACAAAAACCGCAGGCGAAAAAACTATTGGTCATTAGTGTCACTCGGGTAGAGTCATTCCACATTGCAAGCATTTTTCAAATCAGACAAGGGAACTAGCGACACAGTTCATGCTTGTTCTCCAAAAATGGCAAGCGCACCTGGGAACAGCATGCTGTAGCTGCAGTCAACCCCTGCACATCGAATAAACCACGGGTTTGCAAAATAATGCAGGGTTTCAGCCCCTAAACACAAAAGTGTGGCAGCAGCGAGTCAATACTGCTCGAGCCAGCATGGCCAGCTGACTCTTACTCGTGCCATGTGACAAGCTCAATGGCATGTATGGGCCTACGCCTATACCTCAAATCTTTCACGTAGGTGATGTGTACACTGACAACTCAAGATAAAGAACTAACAGCCTGCCACAGTCAATTCCAAACCCCCTCAAGATTCAACCTACCTCAAGTACCCAAGCCCGACGCCCGAACACGACTCGAACACGCGCAATCCCCTGAGACTCGCGGAACGTAGACGGACCCTATAATCGCTATGAACGCGCGAAAAACCCCCGGTCCGAGGATTCTGGAGTAGCTGTCGCTGCGCAACGATCGGCTGGTCGGCGGCGAATTCGTTGGACAAAGCCCTCACAGACTTGTCTGTTAAGCGTTGGGTAGCTCAGAGTTGGGGGAGGGGGGGGGGGAAGGAGGGGAAGCACGAGACTTGGGCTTGAGCACACTGCACATGAATGCTTCTGCTGTCCGAAGCCCCCGAACCCTTGGACCCTCGAACCTTGAACCCCTCAATCTCTGATCTCTCTTCTCCTTAATGCAGGGAGGCTTCAAGCCGAAGCCAGACTCGCCCGAGATGTTCCATTCAACCCCTTGAAACCGACAGCAAACCCTTTCTGTTTTTTGGGCTCAGGATGGCTCAGTGTTTGAATAGTTGAACGACCAGCTCCACTTGCAAAGCCACATAGCCGCATTGCCACATAGCATCGCATAGCCATATGGAGCCGCGTCAGTCCAAGCCCTACAAAGCGCGAGCCGCGACGGAACTAAGATTGGCGCCTGTATGCACTGCGCGCCCCGGCACCCCGGCATGACCTGGGCCTGGCGACGTGGGGGTTTATAGGGTGTTCCGAAAGACTGAGCGAAGGATGCTTTTCAACTTTCATGACCTGTAGCCCAACCTTCTTCGGTATTAAAGTTTGAAAGGCTTGAGACGCGGGTCCGCACGTCTTCAGGCTGGCCAGGAGGACTTGGCTTTTGGAATCTGAACTGAGTCAGTCTCAAAGGTTTGCTTGCAACGTTTTTTCACGGCGATTCAGCACGACCCTGTCCAGCCATGGAACCCTAGAAACCCTGAACGAGTTGAACGAATGTCCTGCTGCCTTGTGGTCTTGACACTAGCTGAAAACGAATTTGCTTCAAGCTCTGGGGATTGAGGTTTTACAGAAGGGTTTGAAGGTGGCAGGAAGTTTTCCAGCAACATCACAACATGTGTCTACAAAAGCAACCAAACAGAACTGATAGTTGAGAAAAACGCTTTCCAGCAATGCGATATCAAAGCCGCGATGGCTCAGTTGGGTGATCGTCAATCTGAAAATCTGAAAGTCCCCGGCTCGATCCCGGGGCTCAGCATTCTCAGAGTCTGAGAGCGAGCGAGAGAGAGAAAGAGAACGAGAGAGAGAGAGAGAGAAAAAAAAAAAAAAAAAGTTCTTCTGCAACAGCTCCCTAAGGAAATTAGGAATGTTTTTGGAGTCCTTCAAGGTCCGGCCTGAAGAGTTTTTTGGAATCCTTCAGGGCCCACATGCGGGGGCTGAAGGAGTTTTTGGAATCCTTCAGGGCCCACATGCGGGGCCTGAAGGATTTTTGCGAAACCTTCAGAGCCTGCATGCGGGGGCTGAAGGAGTTTTTGGAAATCCTTCAGGGCCCACGCGCAGGGCCTGAAGAATATCTTGGAATCCTTCAGGGCCCACATGCGGGGCCTGAAGGGTTTTTCCGAATCCTTCAGGGCCCACATGCGGGGTCTGAAGGAGTTTGTGGAATCCTTCAAGGCCCACATGCAGGGCCTGAAGTAGTTTTTGGAATCCTCAGGGCCCCCATGCGGGGCCTGAAGGGTTTTTTGGAATCCTTCAGGGCCCACATGCGGGGCCTGAAGGGTTTTTCGGAATCCTTCAGGGCCCACATGCGGGGCCTGAAGGGTTTTTTGCAATCCTTCAAGGCCCACATGCGGGGCCTGAAAAATTTTTTGGAATCCTTCAGGGCCTACATGCAGGGCCTGAAGGAGTTTTCGGAATCCTTTAGGGCCAACACGCAGGGCCTAAAGGATTTTTCGGAATCCTTCAGGGCCCACATGCGGGGCCTGAAGGGTTTTTCGGAATCCTTCAGGGCCCACATGCGAGGCCTGAAGGAGTTTTCGGAATCCTTCAGGGCCCACATGCGGGGCCTGAAGGGTTTTTTGGAATCCTTCAGGGCCCACATGCGTGGCCTGAAGGGTTTTTCGGAATCCTTCAGGGCCCACATGCGGGGCCTGAAGGGTTTTTCGGAATCCTTCAGGGCCCACACGCGGGGCCTGAAGGATTCTTCGGAATCCTTCAGGGCCCACACGCGGAGCCTGAAGGGTTTTTTGGAATCCTTCAGGGCGCACACGCGGGGCCTGAAGGAGTTTTTGGGGCCTGAAGGATTTTTCGGAATCCTTCAGGGCCCACATGCGGGGCCTGAATCGTTTTTTGGAATCCTTCAAGGCCCACATGCGGGGGCCAAAGGAATTTGTTTGCAGTCCTTCGAATTTAGATGGAGTTTCAAAATGGAACCCTGCATCCCTTAACCCCTATCACCTGAACATGGCCTGTTGCCTTGTGGCCTTGACGCGAGCTTAAGCAGATTCAGAGTCAGCTCTATAGGGATTGAGGTTTACAGAAGGTTTTCAAGGTTTCAAGCTTGCGCGGATGCAATCTGTGCCTCCTCGGGACGCTGCGGGACCGACATTGCGAATCAACAGAGCTGTGGTGTCTGCTGTTGAGGACTCGGTGGTGTTCTGCTATTCATGTGTCTTAAGACGTCCAGCGGGTTGATCTTCCGGCACGAAGCTGTAGGTTCGAGCCTGGAGCGATCGCCAGCATTCTGCATCCAGGCTGAACCCTTCACGCATCCATCTCCGTGCGCTGTCACTGCTGTCGCGGGTGCTGCGGGGGATCGTGCTAAGCAGCCACCTTTTGGAGGATTTTTTTCGCAGGAGAACTGGCCTCCTTTGGAGGCGCAACGGCGATCATTGTGAGATCTAATGATGCGCCCCCTAACAGTGGAGGCTGCACGTCACAGAGGGACTTGACTCCTCCTCGAGGCTGTGACACCTGTCAAGACAAGAAAGAGATTGATGCATTGCAGGCATTCCCAATATTGCCTTCCAGGCTATACGCATTGCATATCATGTAGGTATGCGGGTGCCCGCAAATGATGGGAGAAGGCACACGCACTGCTTTTTGTCACACATTTGGCTCAGAAGCAGCGGAGTCGGCAAAGCTCGTCCTGCACGGCTTGGCTAGCGTGCACTGAGAAAGCCTTCAGCTGCCTCTCTGCTTCTGCGTAGCTTCGTCGGGGATCGTCATCAGCTCGCCACAGGAGCTGCAGGTCATCAATCAGGCTCGAATGGAAAGCTTGCTGACTCTTCAGGACCCTGACCAGCATGGACACCCACTTCTGGCGCTGGCACTTCGTCAGGGCGCGCACAATGCAATAAAGATGCCGTGAGCAGCGTTGTGCCTCGAGCGAGGCCTTCTTGCTGATTTCGGCGGACTCTGGCAGCAGGTCTCCCATCAAACCCAGCAACTCTTCCGCAATCAGTTGCTGAACAAAAGGGAGGCCGCCCAACCCATAGTTCATCAGAACATGGTGCGCTTGGGATCTCACAGATTTGTCCGCACTTCGGATGTGCACGAACAGATGTCGAAGGTTTGCGATGACGATATTGCGGGCGTCGCTTTCTGGAAAATGGGTGAGCCTCGCGCTCGCCAACCTCATACACCACCAGCGGCCTGGGTTGAAAAGCAGACGAACCCGTTCGATAACCAGACCTCCTTTCCACGGATCTTTAAAAAAGGCCGAGACACACTCAAAGACCTTCAGCTGCTTGACATCCTTTGCAAGTTCTCTGAAGGTAGTAGGCGCGTCAGCACCAGCAGCCTTCCATCTTGCACAGAAGTCGGTAGTTGATTCCGGCCTGCACGGCAGAACTCATGGCGCAAGACTGCACGACTCCCGCTCGCAAGTGGCTGTGGTGTGGAACATGCCAGGACGCGCCTGTCCAACCTGCCCATTTCGGTCAGGTGCTGTATCAAGACCTCAGGTTCTCTCAGGTTGCATGTGCATTCCAGTCTTCCCGGCACTGGAGCATCACGCAGCGCTGGGCAGACGCAAAACAGCACAGAGCTCCCTGCCCTGGGACTCCTGGTCTGCCGGGAAGTCAGGCGCCATGCCAGAATTTCATCTACCTTGGGCACGGGCACACCATCTTCCGGACTCTCCCAAATCTCCCAACTGAAACGTTTTCACCTCTCACAGCACACCATCGCCAGCTGCTGATGTCGCGGGCAGGATGCCGAAAGGTACTGCAAAAGGCCGGGCCTCAGCTGGACTCATGGATTTTACTTCTGCTCTGTAACAAGCGCACCTCATTTCCCGCTGACCCCATGCTTCAGTGACGCGAAGACCCACTCTCACGCAGTCAGATACAGTTAGTTTCTTCGGCTGCGTTTGAAGGGCTCCAACACAACGAGCACATACGAGCTAGTAGGAAGCCCAAGGAGCGCAAGGAGCTGCTGGGGATCCCACTCCCCACAAGCCTCGGGTAGCACGCGCGGGCTCCCGTGCCCGTGCCAAGGGAAGCCAGAGTTTTTCATGCCTCTCCTGACATCTTGCCCAGAAACAGGCATACACGAGGCACTCGTCTCCGCAAAGGTTTCTTCTGGCAGCGGCTGGTCAATACCAAGCTCTTCCTGCTCAGCTCTCTGGAGCATCGCGGTAACGAGAAAGGCAGAGACCCAAGGGCTCTTGGCAAGAGGCGCCGCAGTCCTGACCATCCGTCTGGCAAGCCTTGTTGCAAGCATCCGGGCAGGAGGCCGGCAAAAGTCTGCACCTCAATGGCGGGTGCCTAAACAGAAAAACTAGCAAAGACGAGGCTCAAGGCAAATCGCTCGATGGTATTGCTCCGTTGATTTAGAACGGATGCCACCCTACCATGTTTGGCAGATTTTGGCAGCTCCTTCAGCCAGGGATCTCGCGCGCGGTCGCCAAGTCACTCTCCAGCTCGTCCACGCGCCGCTTCCACTCGAGCATCGTCTCCCGGCCCTTCGTCCTTGGCTAGAGTCACTGGAGTCTCGAGCCCTGCCCTGCCTGAGCGGGAGCGTTCAGGATTTTACAAGCTTCGTCGCATTGCAGCTATCAAGCTGCCACGCTTGGTGCCATGTACTCCTCAGCAGTCCAAGTAGCTCATCCCTCTTTCGAAAATCAATCTCCTCTTGCATCCTGAAGCAGGTCTGTCTCTTTGGTGAAACAAACGCATGCCACCTGCGCCGAAATTACAAGCATGCCCCAACGCCTTGAAGCCGCCTTTTGCAGCTCCATGTTCTGCTGAAGCTGCTCCTCGAGTCGATCGGAAACCATGTTCAGCTCGTCCTCTAAAGCAGCCTCACGGCACCACGGCCAACAAAAAAGAGCACAACGAAGGCTTGGCTGCTCAACAGAAGAGTCCCCAAAACAATGTTTCTCGCCCTCCGGAAAATGCGATTAACATATACGCCGCTACAGGCCAAACCTTTTTCTCTTTACGACAGCCAAGAAGGTCCACTTCAAACCCAAGCCATAATTATTCACTACGAGGCATCATTCTGGGGCGGCTGGTCTGAGCACGAAACACATGCACAAGGGCAAAGGAATTGCATGGCCGGCCTGCTCAGCTTCACATTGGGCCAGACGCTCTTCCGCGCGCGCTGCGCGGCCTGCAGTAGGAAACAGCGTCACCGCATCCACAGCCACCATCAGGCGCGACTCTACTCACAGCATCAGGGCTTTTGGACTTCCGTCGAGGCGCGAGTCTGGCGAGCTGCCACTGCTTTCATCAATTGCTGCTCACGCAGATTGGCTGCCTCACAAAATTTGAGGCTTGCGGTCACGTCCTACTGCAGCCCGATCGTGGCACCTAGTCACAGTCTGCACGCGACTCACAGGCCGAAACTTCATCCTTCTCGAATCCGCCGGCCTTGGCATCTCTGAATTCGCAAAGTAGCCGGCCATGCTCCTCCTAGCCGCGCAGGGGCGCAGGAATTATCAGGGCGCAGGCATTCTCAGGGCGCAGGCATCATCGGGGTCCGGAAAGCAAGCAAAGCCAAGCGGTTTCGGCAAGTTGCTGGCATGCGGTGTGGTCCTTGTAGGAATCTTGCGTGGCCTTCATGGTCTGCCAGGTCTTCCTTGCCCTGGTGTCGGGAAGCAGCTCAAGCTGTGGGGCAACAAGCAACCGTGCGTTCACACAACTGGGTCTTCGGCATTTCTTTTGCTTTCTGGCAATCCAACTCCCACTTGCAGCACCTCGCTCTTTACTTATGGCACGACATGGCATGACCGCTCTGCATAGAAATGCGCAGAAAGGCTTCCCACACTTCTTCTAAATCTTACGCAGCCAGGAAAGGCCAAGGAGCTGGTCCCTCTCGGCTTTCAGCTGCAGCTGAAGCTGCCGGATCTCAGCTTCAAGCCTGCGTTTTGCAGGGGCGAGGGTCCTTCACACTCCAGTTCTCCAGCAGCTAGTGCTTCCTAACTTCCTTTCGCCAGCGCGGTCGAGGCGCTCCGCTGACGTGTCCTGTCACTGTGAGATATCGCATCACACGGAGTGGCGTGTTTGTTTGCACATGTTTGCACAGAATTCATGAGGAAGCAAGGGTAGGCTTTGCCGCCAGGAGAAACTGGTGTACGACATCGGCAAGTCCCGCTGAACATCGAAAACACGAGACCAATTGCATCGCTTTCTTCTTTTCCTGCCGTCCTCTGAACAGGCCGTACTGCAAGTACCAGACGAGCTGGGAGATGAACTCGGCCCATCCTGCCTCCGCGAGCGAATGGCTCCAGCCCGACAATGGCTTGGATTGGGATTCTCTAAGACGGCCCAGCACCGGAGACTACATCCGTCAGCAGAACCCCGGAAGCCCTGTGTAGGCTTGCTCGGCGTGCGCTGTGCCACATGCAGCAATCGGCAACCTGCGGCTTCCTTTTGAGAACTTTTTTTCGCAGTTCCCACATGAAGTTAGGCAAAAAGCATTCCCTGCCCTCCCCGGGTCATCCCGTGGAGCCCGACTCCGGCCGATTTCAGCTAAGGGTCTCCGCGCTTGGATGCACGTCAGGGCCAGCGATGGCCGCCAGGCCAGGCCAACTCGAGGCGGCTGCAGGTTTCCAAAGCTGCCATTGCACAGCGTCCACCGGCGACATACCGCTCACCCTGTTGGCAAAGAAGCCCTGGTTTGGAGCTCACTGAATAGCACCTACTCTCGTGCCGAGGGCTTGAAGGCCCGGAGAGGAGTACCAAGAGCGGTTCAAACATGAAGCTCCGTCGAAGAAAAGTCCTGCGAACTGCCAGCGCTACGACCACCGCCAATATCCCCCGTAAAATAACCATTCGATGAGGTTGGGAAGAACGACTGGAATGTCACCAGAGACCAACCTGAGCTAGACGTTGGATGAACTTCCTTTGAGCCGTTGTCATGCTACCCGGCGCGTATAGCCTAGTCACCCTACGGGCCTACTCCTCAACCGTGAGGAGAAACTACTTCGACTGCACTGCGGACGCATAGGGCTGCCTTAACATGCTGTCCGTTGCTTCAGCAATGCTGCCGGCTTCCGAGTTGCGGGAACATGACTTAAAGAATTCTAGGCGACTTTGACATTTGGGATTGTGGATTGGAGGGGTTTGCCCCCCAACGGTCAGCCTGAGTCCAGCTGAGGCGAGCGAGGAGCGAGGAGCGGAGACCTGCAGAAGTGCCATGGTGACAATCGCTCAGCCCTTTGGGGCTTCGGGGTCTAGGGGGGGGCTCGTTGTTGTTGTTACACCGCGAAACTTGCGATGCGCAGCAGGGAGACCTTGTCGCGTGGTGGCTGAAAGTGCAGCACTTCCGGAGGCAAAGCAGACTGAAAGCACAGAGAGGGCCCTCCGAACTTCACAAAGCCTTAAACTTAAACCCTAAACCCGTAACCTTACATGACTAAAGCCGCAGACTGTGCTGCGCCGTGACCAAGCACTGACGCATTGAATCTGCTTTGACGTGTTTAGTGGGACACTCAGCGAATTTGAACCCTATGTAGTGGGACACTCTTGCGTATGAGATCTCAGCCATCGACACGAGGCTTAGAGATACTGTGTATCTGCACGAGGCCAAATATAGCCACTAGTTGAGGTGAACACGTTTTCAAGGGTGTGCTAGGCTACTCTGTTGCGCCCAAGAGTAAAGAACCGTTAAACCCTAAACGCCCTTCAACTCGTAATTGCTAAAGCCCTAAAACCCTGACACTCCTACAGTCCAGCAGACTCCGTAGAGCCGGAATTCGGCTCAAAGGCTGCGCCCCCACGGATGTCGCGGGCTTCAAATACCGCGGAAACGAGACCCTCACGGCCATGCATTCAGGCTTCGGGTTTAGGGGTTAAGTTTCAGGCTTTATAGGGTTTAGGGTTTAGGGGCTATAGGGGTCAGGGAAGGAGGTTGGGCAAGTGGCTTGAGGGCCGTGTCTATTGAAGAGCTGGACATTTGCACCCTACCTGTGCTGCCAATTCTAGTTCCTTGCTGGAGATGTTCCTCCCTGGCTGATTCGTAGTGGAGCAAGGAACTGAGGCATCCAAAACAGAAGAGGAACTACGCTGGCCTGGGTAGCTCGTGCTCGAAGTGCTGAACAACCCTAAACCCTGAACCCTAAACACTAAAACCTAACAAATCCTAAACCCTAAACCCTAAACCCTAAACCCTAAACCCTAAACCCTAAACCCTAAACCCTAAACCCTAAACCCTAAACCCTAAACCCTAAACCCTAAACCCTAAACCCTAAACCCTAAACCCTAAACCCTAAACCCTAAACCCTAAACAAACCCGCACCTCCCATTTGGCTGTAGCATAGTCCCAAAACAGGATACGCACTCAAAGCCGCACACGGTAATTACTCTGCCCAGGCCTTCAGAAAAGGAAAAGGCTGAGGCCACACACAAGGCATCACCTTTCTGAATGAAGCACCCCAGCCTAACCTCCAAGGATCAGCTGCATGCATCGGATGGTTTAGGGATGCTAGGGCGTGCAAAGGGTTTAGGGCTCAGCTGTTTTGAGATTTAGCAGTAATTGGACTGAACCTCGCGTCACAGCTTTCCTTCGACATAAATGGGGTTCTCTTGTTAAGGACTTTGATTTCGCCCTATTGGCGTAACTGAGTTTCAGCTCCTTAAATAAAACGAAGTAACCCGACTTGAAAGAATACTTTCACCCTAAACCCTGAAGCCTTGACCCTAAACCCTAGACCCTAGACCCTCTATCCTGAAGCTTTCAAAGGCGAGGTCTTGCTCGATTCACTGCTCACGGGGCCCTTCAGTCGTGCGCGCGAGTCAACGTTGCAATCAGCCTCAAGGGTTTGCATTGTTTGGGGATTAAGGTTCGGTGTTCAATGCAAGCTCCAAGGGGTGTGTTGTTCTTTTCTTCGGGTGGGAGGCTACCCTGAATCCTAGTTAACACTAAACCCTAATTTCGATAAACGCCCCCAACCCGAAACATAGAAACATGAGAAAATTAGAAAGCCCTTGAAGGGGGAACTGAAATCAGGTCTGATGTCAGGTCTATGCCTTTCCCCCCATTGTCCAAAGGTTCATACCGGGAGCCCTGGGAAGATTTTTACTGGATTGTTCAAAAAGGAAAGGGGTTAGGGTTTAGGGCTTAGGGTTTAGGGTTTAGGGCTTAGGGCTTAGGGCTTAGGGCTTAGGGCTTAGGGTTTAGGGTTTAGGGTTTAGGGTCTAGAGTTTGGGGTTTAGAATAGGGTGAGGGTTAGGAATGCAACTTTTAAGACTAGGTTAAAGGCATGGTATAATTCGGGCTTAGGACTTTGAAACATCGACCCTACACCAGGGCGTCGAAGATTTCACAGGCTGGGGTGGGTCAACATCTCGCCACGCACAATATGACAAAGCAGAAAAGAATGCCTCTGTAAATGAGACTTGGTGCCACAGGACAAGCTGAAGCCCAAACAGCCTGAATCCAAACAAACCCTAAACCCCAAGCCCTACACCCCAAGCCCTGATGAACATTGGTGCCCTGTAGACCCCTCTTTGATGGGACGCCAAACAGTTAGCGTATTACGAACCCGAAAATTACGGGACCTGGATTCCGATGTATTCCTAAACCCCACAATGCACTGAAACGCTTCAATCCTTACGGCGCGAGCATGGCTACTGCAGGTTGGCCACGCAAAAACCCTCTGATGACCTTCCGAAATAAGCCAAAGGAACATGCAAACACATCTCAAAGAGGTCAAAGGACAATTAAGGGTGGGCAGTTGCTGTGTAGATAAGCCTCTTATACACCGAATTGGTTCCCATACATTTTCAGAGAGACTACCAAACAACTTCTCTAGAATGCTAAACCCTAAACCCTAAACCCTCTTGTCAGTTTCGTATTTGAACCTTATGATCTTCGTCGGCAATGCTTGTTTTTTTGTGGGCAATGGTCATTTTTCGTGGGCAATGGTCATTTCTTCGTGGGCAATGGCCATTTCTTCGTGGGCAATGGTCATGTTTCGTGGGCAATGGCCATTTCTTCGTGGGCAATGGTCTTGTCGTGGGCAGTGGTCATTTTTCGTGGGCATGGTAATTTTTCGTGGGGTTTAGGGTTTCGGGTTTAGGGTTTGGGGTTTCGGGGCCCCGTCTCTTGCCCCGCCCCCCCCCCCACTCTTGCCCCCCCCCCCCCCCCCCTCCCCCCTCCAGGGCTGAGGGTCTCAAGGGTTGAGGGTCGGGTCTCAGCAGGGTCTCAAGGGTTGAGGGTCTCGAGGGTTTAGGGTCTCAAAGGTTGAGGGTCTCAACGGTTTAGGGTCTCAAGGGTTCAGGACGTGCGCTGGTGGTTCACGTGCCCGAGGGCGGGGTGGGGTGACTGCAGGGGAAACGTTCCGTAACAAAGTGGCGCTTTTTTTGAAGGGGAAACATGTTTTTGCGAAGGGGACACGCTCCGTAACAAAGTGCGCGCTTTTTTGAAGGGACAACGCTCCGTAACGCTCCGTAACAAAGTGGCGCTGTTTATAAAGAATATGTTCGGATGTGGTGGGATTCATTGGGCGGGTGGGTGTTGGTCGAGAGAATGGCTGAACTAGACCTGCTGAACCCTAAACCCTAAACCCTAAACCAACCCCAATCCCTAAAACGCTAACAGCTGCAAAGGCTCAATTCCACCGGGAGGGAGTTGCATTAGGTGACGTCAAGAGCAAACCTAGACTGTCGAGTTGCCGACACGGGGGTGAAACTCTACCCGGGGATGACATTTTGGGTTTTGTGGTTTCGTGTTTGACGGCTTGGGGTTTAAGGCTCTGTTGCACGTCTGACAGCAGAACAACACATGCCCATGCGATAAACTGAAACAACGCGAGGAGTGGACAAGCAGCCGGCGGTCAGGCAGGGGCGCGGAAGTGGAAATCCAAGAAGCGGAAAATCAGAAAAGCGGAAACAACCACAAGCAGAAAAGCGGAGAAGCATAATTACAAGCGGAGTAAGGTGAGACCAGAGGGCGTGAAAACATGGCCAACAAAACAAAACACAAAAAGCAAAATCCACAAGAAAAACAGAAAAAATAGATACATCTATATATATACCTGGGTCTCCAAAAGACCCTATTACTTTTGGTTGTTTGGAAAAAACCGGGTTTTTTAGGAAACGCCCGTAAAAAAAACAAACGCCCGTAATACGGGAAACGCCCGTAATTCCGAGATCGGGGAGGATTAGGATTTTACGGGAAACGCCCGTAATTCCGAGACCGGGGAGGATTAGGATTTTACGGGAAACGCCCGTAATTCCGAGATGGGGGAGAATCAGGATTTTACCGGAAACGCCCGTACTTGCAAAATCGGGGAAATGAGAATTCGGCATAATAAAATGTACCAATACAACCCACCAAGCACCAAGCTTATAGTGAAGCCTGAACCCTGTCCCCTTCCAGCTCCTGCAAGGTTGAAGGGTTTAGGGGTTTAGAGAGGGAACACAGGAATGCTCCGGCGAACCCAACTGTAAAATCCGAGCCACAATCCTTCTCAAACCTTTCCCGAAGCCCTGTATAGACCAACGATATATGGACCTGCCCAAGCGACGCTTATCAGGAGACTTGATAACCCCGGACCCCAGAGACCCTAAGCCTCAGCCAACCTTTCTCGAAGCCCTGTATAGCACAACAATATAGGTTATTCTGAGTCTTTAACACCAACCCTGCCGACCCCCAAGCACAAGCGACACTTATTATGAGAAGACGAAACAAACCCCAGACCCTAAGCCTCAGGACTTGCAGGGTTTATAGGTTGGGGTGGGGTTGGGGTATAACGGTTCTGGCACACGACCGTATATGAGGAGACCCTGTAGACAAACCCATATAAGCCCTATTCACCATATAAGCTCCAGCCAGGACTTCCGAGGGGTTTGGGGTATAGGTGTGGGTTGAATTGGACCGGATTTGTTAACCTCATTTTTCGTTCCCTTGCCACGACAGTTGCGAAGTTGGACTGTTTTTTCCAGCTGCTAGGATCGCTAGGATCGGCAATAGCAGCCCAGACGCCCGTAATCTTTATTAAACGCCCGTAAAAACCCGTAATTCGCCCGTAAACTTGTTGATTTAGGCTTTCCGTGGGGTTTCCGTGGGCCCTTACGGAAAGAATCCACGCAAAAACGCCCATAAAAAACCGTAAAAAAGCCGTAAAAAACCGTAAAAAACCGTAAAAAACCGTAAAAAACCGTAAAAATCCATAATTGGGACTGGCGCGGAAAGATCACGGAAAGGCCTTAGGCTCTGTGATGCCTTGAAAAACTCTCAGATCCAACAGCTCAGCCCACCCTTCGAAACATAGAACCATAATTCCACGGAAAGCTGTGAACTCCCTACGGTAAACACGAAATCTACGGAAAACCCCCTGAAGTCTACGGAAAGCCCCTGTTTCCGTGGGCCCCTGGGTTTGAGGGCTTTAGAGTTTAGGGGTCCTCTGGATTGTAGGTCAAGCTTCAGTTTCAGGGGTTTGGGGATTTCAGGCGGCTTTCCGTAGATTTCAGGGGTTTGCCGTAGATTTCGGGTTTTTCGTAGGGAGTTCACAGCTTTCCGTGTGGAATTATGGGTTCTATGTTTCGAGGGGTGGGCTGCATGAGTTGTTGGATCTGAAGGTTTTTTCAAGGCATCACAGAGCCTAAAGCCTTTCCGTGACCTTTCCGCGCCAGTCCCACTTATGGATTGTTACCGTTTTTTAGCGGTTTTTTATAGGCGTTTTTATGCGTGGATTCTTTCCGTTAAGCCCATCAAGCCCTAAACCCAAAAAGGCCTTAAAACCCTAGAAGCCTAAAACCCTTGCAAGAACCCTAACACCCTATAAAACCCCTACAAAACCTGCAGGCTTTATGGCCAGGCCGGCCCAGGAAATTCCAAAAAACCCTTTCAAAGCAAATCCCCAAAAAACCTCAATGGCCAAAATGGGGTCCCAAAATGCTTGAGGTTTTGAGCAGGGTGGGGTCCCAGGGGTCTTTTAGGAGGAAGCTTGGGTTAGCAAAATCCCTGCAGGCTTCGGGTGAAGGGCTTATATAGGGCTTTGGGATAATAAGGTTTTGAGGGGCTCAGGGCTTGTTGTTTTTGGCATATTCAGCCCTGTTTGTTTGGATGAACCCGGAAACCCCTAAACGCCCATAAAACCCCTGAACGCCCATAATTCTGCACCAATCCTCAGAAACCACTAAACGCCCATAATTATCCGTAATTTCAAGAGCCAAAAGCAGAACGCCCATAAATTTCCTAAACGCCCGTAATTCCCCCTAAACGCCCGTAAAAACCCGTAAAAAACCCAACGACCAAAAATAATTGGGTTGTCGGGGTTCCAGGTATATATGTGTGTGCCCCAAAACCTTGCCATACATGCAGTTGCGCAACTCATCCGAGGATTTCCGATTCCATGTACTCCATTCGAGCCTGACACCAAATGGTCAGATTGCGTTGGAACGCTGCGATGGTGCGCACGCTTTCTACCCAGCATCCGCGGCCTCCAGCCGTGTGACGATTGCCAGGATCTGCAGAACAGGCATCGTTTTGGCCAAATTCTAGGAGTGCAGACGGCAGGATAATGGAGGCCAGGGTGCTATGGAGGGAGCTTTTAGAGCCCACGGACCCCCTAGATCTCTCCTCGTTTGTGCAGGCCGCTCTTGGATGCGTGTGCTAGGTGTCGCAACCGCATGGCTCACCGGCACAGGAAGAGAAAGCCCCAACGCCGCCTGACGCAAGGAAGCAGGCTCGGCCGCTTTCTGCAACGGCCACTTCGGCAGTGCCGAAATAACCACCTGAGAAGGCCACAGCCGCGCACAGCACCGGGGCACAGCTTGTGTGGGAGGTGGTCTAACGACTTCCGAAACCTTATGAAACCTGACGAACGGGCTTTCGAGTTTGGGGCCTCAGTCTCGAAGTCCTGCATCTTGGCGCCAGCCTGGAGCAATTGCTGCCTCAGAGCAGGCTTTGTCTTTCAGGCGCCACTCTTGCGCGCTTGGTGGCTTTGGGGCTTTAGGGTTACGCATGGGCCAGTACAGAAGGGAAGCATTTGCTCAACCAAACCAACCTTTCAGACCCTTTCAGCACGGCAAGTACGATGGCAGTCATTTCTCTCTGAATACAACATCGAAATTGCTTACATCCCGGCAACATCAATTTGCCGATGGACTCTCCCGCAGCGACTTTGTGTCGTTGCTGCCATTGCTCCTTATGACTCTTGGTTGCCTAAGATTTCTGAAGCTGTGCGCCCCCCCAGCAAGCAAGCAAAGGTGCAATGCCCAGAGCTGGTCCAGAAACACTGCCAGGTGCACCTGGCACATTTGCAAGCTGCAGAGTTTACATATCTGCGTGTGTGCGCGTCAGTATCGCATGAGATCAGGACTAGTGTACAGTACACACATGCGCTGTATTGAATTTTAGTACACGGGCAAGCACCTGGCTCAGCATCAACAACACTGTTAAGGGGCGCACTCTGAGGAATCGGAATCTCCAAAGCCCAACACGATTGGCTAAGGACCCCCTACAAAATGCCTCAACGCGTATTCTACAGCCAACCCACAACATTGAATTTTAAGTCGGAGGCACCGGGCGAAGGGCTGTCCGCCCACTGCCAAGGGCCTCCACCAACCTTTCAAACAGGATGTACAGGAGGAGTTCAGGTTTCAATTATCTCACATGGCCTTGGGTGTGAAGCTTCACTTCTTCTTCTGCTTCTTCCTCCCTAGGGTTTTGCCACCTCTGTACAATAGCTAGATGTAGCCAGTGGACCAACAATCCGAATCTGCCCGATCGGCCTCTCGGTCGTTGCCTCGCACGAGAGAGCTTTGCCTTCCAGGAGGCCGAGACAAGGTGTCTACTCATGGATGATAGTTTCACTTTGCGTCTCTGGCAATATGTCCTGACGCGTGCAACTGGGGAGGGGGAGGGCATGATGATGGCAAGGCTGTCACAACGCATTCTAAAAGTCCGAAGGGGGGCTGGCCTGCCAAGAGCATCTTCGCCTCCTCTTGGGACGCAGGCCAGTCGTATGCCTGCGACTCATTCTTGGAAGTACAGCTCCACGCTCCTGGATCCCTCCCCCCTACCCCTTTGCACGCCCCCTCCCCATGACCAACAGGTAGAGCACTACAAAACGAATTCCTTCCTTTCCCTTTCCAGCTTTCGGGGCGGCTTGGGCGGGCACTTTGAAATTGCACCTCCATTCATGGGGTCGTGGTAGCCCAAATGGCCACAAGATCACGGGCCATTTTAGCCCTTCCCCCAACATGAAACATGCACTGCACACCTAGCACAACTGAATGCATGTACATGTTGCTGTCAAGACATTGCACCGCAATTTTACACTGTCAAGACATGACCAGCATCGCAGCACAACATCACAAGGGCGTGTTCTCTCAAAGCGCTCTCCCTTGTAGTGTCGTAGGAAAAACACTCTAGAATTTCGAAAGAGGCGGGCGAAAAACACCTCCGACGGGGAGGTTTCACACCGTCCGAGCCGGGTCATTTCATTTTCGGCCCTGTCGACCGTGGAGCCATGAGCAAGGGCGCGCTACCCTTTTTACTCGGAGGGCTGAGCAGCGCAGTAGAGGTGCTACGTACATTGAAGGCCAAGTTGGCTAGTTTGGCCACCCTTGTGGCTGGGAGATATCGTGACTGGATGGCTTCATGGCCAGTAAGCGCGCAAGAGCTGCGAGGGCACTTTCGTGGCACCATGCCGTTCGTTAGTACTTTGCTTATCGGATGTTTTTTATAGCCTTGATGAAATGGTTTAGTTGTATAAGGTTTAGCCTAGCCACAGACGGCTGATGGGTTGATGTTGGCCGGCCCTTCTGAGGCTTTTGTACTTTACATTCGCACTTCCCGTGAGCAGCAAAGTCTGCATCGTTGAGTCTGCGGGCTCTTTGAACCTTCAGAATCCTGAAACCCCCAAACCCACATAAACTACATGAGACCCCCAAGCTCCGGGCCTTGTCTAAGTCCTCGCGGCCCGCGGATATCACATTGCTCAAAGAAGCTGGCCCAGTCAACATGGCTGCCACCCAGTCCTGTGGTTTAGGGTTTCTAGGGCTCAGAGCTGAGGGTTCAAGAGTTTGGGGGTTAGGCCGGGGTTAGGGTTGCTCAAGGGTTGAAGGGCTTATGGGTTCACAAGGGATTTTCGGGCATTGGCAGAAGGGCTGCCAGACTTCTTTGTTCGTCTTCCAAACCCAAACCCCCCCCAACCCCCCACCCCCCGTGCCCCCCCCCTTACCCCCACCCCCACCCCCCATCCCACCCCTGTAGGTGCCGAAACTGGCCGAGGGGGGGAGGGGAGGGGGGAGGGGGGCGGGTACACCCTGCTACCCCCCCCCTCCCCCCTACCCTCACCCCGTGCTCCCCTTTTCTTTTCCCAGACCCCGATTTTGCGCTCGAAACCCCAGGTCTGGGGCAGATGAGGGCCCCATCTTGAGTGATTCGAGGGTAGGGTGGGGCGTTTTGGGCCTGTTGGCAAACAAGAAACATGAGGTTAACAAAATTAGGTTTGTTTTGGCTGGCTGTTCGTGCCCGAAAACAACAAAACATGAGGTTAACAAAATGAAGTTTTTCTGGCTGCTCGTGCCCGGTACGAGGGTAGGGCGGGGAAAAACAAGGAACAGGAGGTTAACAAAATTAGGTGTGATTTTTTTGGGGGGGCTGTTCGTGCCCGAAAACAAAAAAACATGAGGTTAACAAAATTAGGTTTTCCTTTTTGGCTGTTGGCGCCCGGTACGAGGGTGGGGTGGGGGAAAACAAGAAACGTGAGGTCAGCAAAACTGGGTCTTTCGTTTTTGCCTGTTCGTGCCCGAAAACTCCAGAGTGATTTTCCGCCCTGCCCCCCTTTATTGTTTTGACATTGTTGGCTTGGAATTGGTGCCCCGGTGATCGCGCCTCCCGCGGGCCGATTCAGTGGACCGCTCCATGACAGAGTGAGGTTGGGGGAATGTCCACGGCCCCCATTAAGGTTTAAATATACCTATGAAAGAGAGGGTGAAGGGTTTAGGGTTTCGGGCTTGTAGGCTTAAGGGCAGCAAGGCGTGCTTGCATAGGACACAAGGGGGGAAGGTTGGGGTGTTTGGGGTTGAGAGAAGCTTAGGACAACAAGAGCGCCTGCATCCCAGACAAGCATTCTACAGGATTAAGAGATGAAGACGCGAGCGGGGAAGGCGGCCGTGACTCTGTCAAATCCCACGCGCCGTGAACCCTAAGCCATCAGGCCCTAGACTTGTAACGTCCCCCAAAACAACGTTTTCCACAGGGGCAGCCTTGTAAAACTGCAACTCTGCGGGCATCTTTCCCCCCCTTTGTAAAGAAGGACTTCAAGATCTGGCAAAGCCTGAGAAAACCCGAGAAGGCCCGAAACCCTCAACCCCAAACCCTAGACCTGTGAACCCTAAACCCTGTATCTACACTGTCAAGACATGGAAACAGGTTCAATGCTCGGTTTCCAGGTTGCCGCACAATACGCTTAGATTTGCTCAAAGATCGTGAGCTTATAATCACAATTCTGACTAGATGCCTAAAACCCTAAACTCTGAAACCCCTTTGAACGACCCCGGCCGAACCTGCAGGCGCATGGGCTCGCGAGAATCCTGCATCAGCGCGTGGGGCGGGGACAGGGCGGACGGAGGCGGACGGAGGGGGGACGGGGGATTTTGGCCTTGACCTGGTAAGCGGTATTGTTACCCAAGCACTACAGAGTGTTAGCAACAGTAGAACTGGAAGATATATCAGCATATATCAGCACGAGCATCTGGAATCATAGCCAGGTACGTTGGGCTGTTTGCTGCAGCTTCAAAGCGAAAGGGAATTTGTAACGCAGACAGCCGCCGTTTGAAGCTTCTTTTGTTCAATGTCCACTGTTGCCGCCGCTGCGTCCAAAACACATGAAATCTTGTAGCATATCACGGGGATCTTTCCTAGGGGTATCCCGAACAAATACATGGACCCCGGCCGAAATAACCAAAACATAACCCCCGGATGCAAGTATGCATGAAATAGGCGCCGTCAAACTTCTAAGCAATAATTTTTGGGGCATCATGCGGCTTACCAGGGCTGAAGATGTTCCCTATTTAAGGTAAGACCTAAGTACTCAGCGGAGATCCGACAAATGAGCTAAATTGCAAATATCCTCAGTTTGGGGGGGAGAGGGGGGGGGGATGAATGAACCGGGGTCCCCTTACTAGGGTTTAGTGTGTAGGGTTTATCGCCCGAAGAGGGGCCCTACTTTACGACAGCTCCCAGTCGAGGTCCGAGCCCAACCAGACTGACATCAACCGGGCACGGAAGTTTCAACGCTGTTGTCAATGCGGTGTTCAAGGCGCTTATCACCTCGGATTCCTGCGCAAACATCAGCACAAGGACTGTTGTTGGGGCGTTTGTAGGTGCATGGTACACGGTGCATAGACGCCCGTGGTGTTCTAAAGACATTTTGTTAAACAACGAATCTGCATGTTACATTAGCATTTACAGTGGATTCGTTGTTGTTACAAAATCACAAGACGGAAAAGAACATCGCGGGGGGAACTACTTGATTTTGCAACGGGCTCTGGTTCCATTTCCGCATGGTTTAGGCTGGCTGCAGGATTTTGACGCAGTCATCGTGCAGGCATGCACGCTGCACGCTCCCATTCGCACGCAATGGAAACATGGACGTAATTATCGCGCGGGCATGCGTGCTCTAGCGGTTCGCACGCACGTAACCATGCTCCAACACTCCGGAACACGCGGATTAACCCATGGGTGTCTACGCACCATGTTCCAACTACATTCCAGGGTGTGAGGTTTAGTGCCTTCGGTGTAGGTTTTGGGGTGTAGGGGTTTAGGCTTGAAGCACATCACCCAGATCCCCCGGAGCCACCTCAGCTTGCGAGGAGCAAGGGGATGCTTCCTGATCCAAGGAGAGCTTCGTGCTTTAGGAGTCAGGGCTTACCTTAAGAACCCCCCACCCACTGTTTGTACGTCACCTAAGAACCCTAAAAGCGGCTTCATACTGAGAACCTAATTACAAAACAAGGAGGTTTGGGTTCTTAAGGTAGGGGATGGTAGGGGTTTAAGTTGATCTTTTACCACCCTCACCTTAGCTACCCCAGCCCGAATTACAGCCCAAATCAGGCGTGTGCAATGCTTATTTGGGCAGTCGGACTGGGGTGTAGTGACAAGGTTGCGGTAGCATAGCATCACAGTTGGCGAGGGCTTACTTGGAGATGGGGGCTTGCGGTGTGAGGGTAAGGAGCTTCGCATGGATTCTGCCACGACGACGGTCAGGGCTGGAGGGCTTAGTTGGGGCTTAGGAGAAGGGCCGGCTCCTCTTGGGAGTCTCGCCGCTTCAGGATTACATTGACTCTGGAAAAATACTCTTTTTGAGCATATTTTCGGGTGCGCTGTTTTGCCCAGCCGGATGCATGGGGACTACACTGTGACTAGGTCCGACTAGGTGTTTGCGAACACCCTCAACTCCCTCCCTAAACCTAAACTTGGGTGAAGCCGTGACAGGCAAACTCGTTTCGGTGCAACGACACACCAAACCAACAGTCACCAACACCAAGCCCACATGCGTTGTACAGGGGCTTAACAAATGAGAGGGTTTTTGGGGCGCACGACATGAAATTGCTTGTAATTATTTCAGGGTCACAAGGCATGATTAGACAAACTATGGCTGAAGGAGATTTCAAGGGTCCTGGTCGTGGTCGTTGTCGGAGTCGTCGCGTGCCCTCAGCTATTCCACACACACACACAGACACACACACGCGAGAAAAAACTTGAGAGGGCACTGTTGCGAGGCGAAGCTTCTTGGACAAATTTATCATGCATTAGTAAGTGATTACGGTTCAAATACAACACGGAAACCCTCTGGCACACGGCACGGCTCCTGCGCTCTCGGCATGACCAGCACACGCTGATGCACCAGGTACACGGAAACCCACTCCAAAAGCTCCGTCTCACGACAGTCCTTTCCAAAAACTTGGGGTCCAGCAAATCTGCGCTGAGCGGACATTTTCCGCCCACGGATCGTCTGAAATAGGCGACCTGTCGTGTGGATAAGGAAGGACAATACAGTTTGGGAGCAAGGGTGTAGCAAGTGAGGAAAGACGCACACTACAACAAAACGTGCCTTTGTGCTGCGCCCCTCCTCGTACCACTCCTGCCAGAATCAGGTTTAATGTTTTATTTATGGTGCTTGGCCTTGACGGTTTAGAGCTCAACTTGAACTGCTTAACCGCGTTCAATTATCGGAACCTTGCGGCGACTGATGGTTTGAGGAAGCATGTCGCTTGCTCCTGGCCTATCCGGAACAGACAACATCTACTTGCTCCAGGTGCGAAGGGGCGCAAAGATTGCTACAACTCAGCTGTTTGAAGTGGCAACACAGAGAAATGGAACTCCGACACAGCCTCATGACCAATGATGTTTGCTTGCTAACCAACGAGAGTCCACGAATGTTCGCGAATGTGGGAGTGCCAAGAACAGCTTTGGGGCATGACCTGAGCAGCTGAAGCGCCAACCTGAAATGCCCTGAACACACGTTCAAGCCTTGACAAAACTCTGAACTCTCAACCACCCCCCCCCCCCCACCCCCAAAACCCTGCTGCCGTGCGCCTGCTGCAATCACCCCCTCAACCCGAGATGCTTGGGGAGGATGTCTTGAGCACCTGCATGCCAGTTCCTCAAGAGATCCTCCCCAAGCATCTCGGGTTGAGGGGGTGCTGTCGCGTTGGCTGTTGCAAGCTGCGTCCCTGCCATACATGAGGGCTTAGGCGCATAAGGGTGAGAATTTGAAGGGCCGTTTTCCGCGACATGTCAGGACCCTCTCTCGGATTATATATATATATATATGTGTCTAAAACCCTTTGAGTCCAGACACCGTCCAGTACCCCAAACCCTCCCTACCTCCAAGCGCGAATCCCGAAACGGTTCAAGGAAGGGAGGGAGGGAGGTGGGGGGCGCACAGGCCTCGTCGAAGTCGGTTGGGTCGAAAAGGCCTTTGTCTCGGGTCACCGTGCATACTCCCCCTACCCCTGCCACAATGAATGAAGCCCTTGCGCTGAGCTTCAGGAGATCTGGCAGAAGACCGGGACGCTGAGGCGCAGAGCCACAGCAAGCCACCCGCCGATCCCGCCAAGCCGATTGGCCTCGATGTGGGGATGGTGGGGGGCGGGGTCTCGAGGAGTTCCTAGCAAGGAAGCCAAGAGCTCTGAACCCCGACAGCCAAGGCCGGCGCTCCAAGCCTCGCCCTGGCCGCATTCGAGACGTGTGATGGGTTGGGGGGGGTTGGGGGGGGCATGCTCTGAAACCTTGGTCCGGCTCGGGCTCGGGGTATGGGGCTTGGAAGGTCCGACACGTGCTTTCGTGCTGTGGGCTGGAAGTCCGGGGAGAGGAGTACGCGGTTCAAAAGTGAAGCTCCGCCGAAGATAAAAGCCTGACTGGTGCGTAGAGTCCCTAATCGCCGAAAAGGCCCTCTTCCTCAACCTTGAATCCTGACCGTTCACCCCCTCTAAGCCACTATCCGCCCCCAGCAAGAAGGCAAAGAAAACAGCGAGCTGTTGCTCTTTTCCCGGCTTGCCCGCGAAACTACCTTTCCAAGCACCCCAAAAGCCAAGCCGTAAACCACGAAGCACGAACACCGCAGATCCAACGGACCAGGACTTGCGGGGTGTTCGGGTGTAGCAATAGGGCTGCTTGGGACTTCGGGATGCTTATCAGGTTTAGGGCCTAGGGCTAGGGTCCAGCGTGGCAGCCAGCCACTTCGCTGCCTGGTCCACGAGGTTGCAGACTGCCCAGTCAGCCTTGCGTTGCAGCAGGAGCGGTCGAGAACATTTGCATGGCAGATGTTCTCGACCGCTCCTGCTGCAACGCAAGGGTGACTGGGCAGTGGGAAGCAGTCAGGCCTTTGACCTTAGGTCATGGGAGCAGTGTCGTCGGGAGCCCACAGGGAGGCGGTTTGCTCGTTCGACCACCCCCTTCCAACAAACAATTTCGCTGTGAACGCCTAACTTTTAACTTCAGCTCAGGCTCTCTCTTGAGAGGCAAATCCGACCCCTAACCCGAGCGCAGGAAGCCTGCAAAGCAAAACTCCCAAGCCGCCAAAGCTGGAATAACCCGGCCTCGGTGAAGTTGCCACATGCATTTGCCCACCGCAGTACAACTACTCAAGATTCCCAAACCCAGCCGTGAACGATCGGGCATGTCCTGTTCATCCCCGGAATCCGCGTGACTTCGGCTTCGGGGAGATTCGGGGGCGCTGCTGCTGCGGCCTGCGCGAAGCGCATCCAGCCCCTGAGACCCGCGGAACATAGACGGATGTCGCTAATCGCACCAAAACCCCCCGCTCCGAGGATTGTGGGGCTCTCGCTGCACAAGGATCGGCACGTCGGCGGCGAATTCATTGGACAAGGCTTAAGCGTAGGGCAGCTCAGAGTTGGCCGGGGGGGGGGCGGGATGGAGTCAAGGCATGAGAGCACACTGCGCACCGAACACCCCTAAATCTCTGATCTCTGTTCTCTCTTTATGCATCGAGGCTTCAAGACGAAGCCTGACTTGCCCGAGATGTTCCATCCAACCAGGTGAAACCGACAGCAGACCCCTTCTTCTCTCTGGGCTCACGGATTGAATAGTTGAACGACCAGCTCCACATGCAAAGCCACATAGCCACACAGCCGCATAGTCCCATGGAGCCGCATGACAACCCTCAGTCCAAGCCCCAGAAAGCCCAAGCCCTGACGGAACTAAGATCGGCGCCTGTATGCACTGCGCACCCCGGCACCCCGGCATGAAGGGGGCCTGGCGACTTGGGGTTTATAGGCTATAGGGCCATAGGGTGTTCAGAAAAAACTAAGCCAGGGATGCTTCTTCAGCTTTCATGACATATGGCCCAACGGCTGCCATATCTTTGAGGATGAGCGAAAGAACGGATGCTTCTAGGAAAAAATGCTGAATCTTGGGAATTTGTAAGGGCCGGGGTTCAATGAATCAGCTGAAAGTATCCGTGTCTTTCTTATTTTGACAGGTGACCTGTCAAAATGAGAAAGACATGGATACTTTCAGCTGATTCACTCACGCTTCTTTCTTAAGCGGTCGTTCGTCCACATCCTCAACTTGAACTGCTTAACCGCGTGAAGGACAGGAATTGGGCGGCAATTTCCTAGATTCGAAAACAACGAAGGCTACACAGAGCAATCGCACTGCCGCACGGCTTCATGGCCAACGACATCTTTGCTATCGAGAGTTGAACTGAATGTTCGCGCGAAAGTGGGAGCCTAGACCGCCTGCTCACTCGGCTCAACTGAACCTTAAGACAGGTGACACGGCCCAAGCAGTCGCTAGCACTACGGCTACGACGACGAGGACGTGTACACTGCTGCGTCGACCCACGCAAAGAAAGTGAGAACCGGCAAAAAAACCAAACGGGAACCCGTATCAATTCTCGCTGAGCGGCAACTCCCGGCCGCGCACCGGGCATTCCTGAGAGAACGGGCGCACGGACCCGACGGCTTGCCTGGTCTCTGCTGAGGCACGGCTGGAATTTGGCGCGCCTCATGAGGCTGCTGCACCCGCCGTGCCCTGTCTTCGCCTGCATTGCATTGCAAAAACAGTCTTCCTGAGTCCGGCTACAACAGAACTCTCATGCCAAGCTCCAATCAGCCAGTAAACATCCAATTCAATAGTAAACATCCAACCATCACGTGCATGAAAAGCCCCTAAATGGATTCCCACCTGCAAGGTCTCAGTAGTTCCCTTCGGCAAGGCCTCCTCGGTTCGGCGGTACCACAGCAGATGCAGAAGAAAAATCTGCTAAAAAGGAAGTAAATACAATCATATGCAGCGGTTCCGGGGCTGGGGTTTGCGGGGGGCCCTCCCCGACCCTTCGCGACATCCGCATGGGCCCCCGGGCCAGGCATGGGCCCAAACCAGCGCGATGGAGAAGCGGGACCTCGGAGGGCACCGGTGTCTGAGAGGAAAAGGCCGCCTGCAATGCTGGCCTGCGTCGCCCTGCGCACCGCCGGAGCACCAAGCGCAGCCCAGGAGCCAAGGCTTTGCTCTGAGGAGGCAGGCGATCAGGCCGACTCCTTCCTGACAGAGCCAAGGAACCCACCCCCCCCCCCCCGCCACTTGGGAAATTTTCACCAGGCGGAAAGCTCGGCATTTTGACAGAAGCTGCAATCCGGTGCCATCTTGGGGCGCTGCGCGCTGCCTCGGAAACACCAGACAGCAGACAACACCACTCAACCCAGAACGGTTGCTTCTCAGACAATCAACAACCAGTCGCTCCACAACGAACCCACCATCGAGGCTGGATCCGCGCCGCACCTTGTAGAACTTCTGGGGCCGCGCAGTCCCTGGACTTGCGATCCGCTCGTCCCTGCACTCCCCGGGAAGGAATGTGGAAGACACTGTGATAGACATCGCGCAATGCCCCAATACCCGCTGGGTACCCCGGCCAAGACTTGAGTGCTGCGCTCATGCCGAATTCCCTACGATCCTTGACGTTCCTCTCCTGTGCAGTGTTCCAAGTGCTTTCCGAGTTGAGGACTCAATGGTGTTCTGTTGCATATTTAGCTTTGAGACGTCAGGCGGATTCATAGTCGGGCTTGTCGCATGTTGTGAATTGCACACACCTGCACGAAGAAGCACGTTCGAGCCAGAAGCGGTCACCAGCATTCTGCACCCAGGCTGAACCGTTCACGCATGCACCTCCACTGCTGTTATTGGCGCTGCAGGGGAAGAGCGCTAGCAGCTGCTTTTTTGGGAGTTCTTGATCGCAGGCTTGGCCTCCTTTGGAGGCGTAACGGCCATGTTGTGCAAACGAATACTGTGCGAGGGCACAGTGGGCGCTATCACAAATGGCGCCCAAGTGTGAGACACCTGTCACAATAAGAAAGACATGGATACTTTCAGTTGATGTAGTCACGCTTCTTTCTTAAACGGTCGTTCTTCCAGAGCCACAACTTGAACTGCTTAACTGCGTGAAGGACAGGAATTGGGCGGTGAAAACCTAGATTCGAAAACAATAACGAAGGAAACTGCTACAACTCAGCAGGCGTGAAGCGGGCCGCGCACCGGGCATTCCTGAGAGAACGTGCGCACGGACCCGACGGCTTGCCTGGTCTCTGCTGTGAGGCACGGCTCGATTTAATGCGCGCCTCATGAGGCTGCTGCACCCGCCGTGCCCTGTCTTCGCCTGCATTGCATTGCAAAAACCGTCGTCCTGAGTCCGGCTACAACAGAACTCTCATGCCAAGCTCCAATAAGCCAGTAAACATCCAATTCAATAGTAAACATCCAACAACCACGTGCATGAAAAGCCCCAAACGGATTCCCACCTGCAAGGTCTCAGTAGCATCCTTCGGCAAGGCCTCCTTTCGGCGGTACCTCAGCAGATGCAGAAGAAAAATCTGCTAAAAAGGCAATCAGATGCAGCGGTTCCGGGCCTGAGGTTTGCGGGGAGCCTCTTGCCTTCCCTCCCCGACCCTTCGCGACAAGCGCATGGGCCCCCGGGCCAGGCATGGGCCCGAACCAGCCCGATGGAGAAGCGGGACCTCGGAGGGCACCGGTGTCTCCACACAAATGCAGAAGGCCTCTGAGAGGAAAAGGCCGCCTGCAATGCTGGCCTGCGTCGCCCTTCAAGCGCAGACCGGAGCATCCAAGCGCAGCCCAGGAGCCAGGGCTTTATTCTGAGCAGGCCGGCGATCAGGCCGACTCCTTCCTGACAGAGGCAGGGTACCCCCCCCTCCCCGCCCCACTTGGAAAACTTGAACCAGGACACACCATGGACACACCCCGTGCACCCGACGCGTACAAGGTGACAGTGACCCAGCGTGTCAGCGGAAAAACGCTGCGAAAACGCTGCGAAAGAAGTGTCTGTGGCTTCGCAGGTGTGCGGAAGTTGGGTGATGTTAACTAAGGTTCCGGCACAGTAGAAGATGATGATTTCTCAACATCGTCCTAAAACCATCCTCGCTCCCGAATGTGGGCCTACTGCGACTTGCGAAACGAAGCTCCGCGACGCGTCAGGACAAAAAAAGACGAGGCGCAGACGCAGAGACGCACAGAACAGGACGGGACAGGGCCGGACCCTCCACCTTCAAAGTTCAAGGAGGCCCCGGAAAGGCGCTTCGGGGCCTGGGCCTCCCTGCCCGGAAAGCTAGAACCATCCTCAAATCGTCCGTGCAAAAAGCGGCGCAAGAAATGCTAGAGGAAGATCCGAGAAAACAGGGAAGCATGATGTTAGGATGACGATGCGGACCAAGAAGCGAATGACGGGAGGATGACTTCAGGAAAAAGGGGATAGTATGGCTTTAGGATTGTTTAGGATGAAAACGAACATTTTGTCTGAACAAACTCATATGATCAGGGGTCTGCTTCCACAGGATTCTAGACCCTAAACTTTAAACTCTTTAGCCCCTGATCATCCCCGAACCCCCCTGCGCACCGTGGAGATGAACACGGGGATCTTGTAGTTCGCAGAGGAGATCTTTCGGCGGAGGTCGCGATCGTTTCGGCCCTGCAGGATGGAGGTGTTTTAGGGCGCAGAAAGATGCGCAAAGCATGCAAATACATGCAAATACATGCAAATACATGCAACTACATGCAAATACATGCAAATACCACGAAGCTCGAGTTTTCGAGCCCTGGGCCTGGCAGTGTCACTGCAATGAACTACGGCTACTTACGGGCTGAGACGACTCAGATCACAACTCGGGCAAGTTTGACCAGCTGCGGCGAGCTCAGGTGCCGAACAAGAAGTGCAACGACTGCTACCGGCCGCGCCTTAAACGGCCTGTGCCCGCACATCATGATGTAAAGGATGACCCCACAGCTCCAAAGGTCGGAGGCGTACGGGACCTCAAGGCGTGGGCAAAGAGCAGAGGGGGGGGGCTCTCACCCGAGATCCTCAACGGCGACTCTGCGGAAAGCTCTGCCCTGTGACGGAAGCTGCAATCCGGTGCCAGCTGGGGGCGCCGCACACCTTCTGCCTCGGAAAGCCACACAGCAGACAACAGCATACAACAGCATAACCAGAACGGCTGCTTCTCAGATTGTCAGTATAGCTCCACAACGAACTCGAAAGACAATGGTTAACATCACCGTTGCCACTCGCTCAGGTTTTGGGAGAAGGCCCTTCTCATCAAAGCTGAACCCCCGCCGTGCCTTGTAGAACTTCTGGGGCCGCGTACTCCGGGGTCCCCCCCGTTGTTGTGATCCGCGTTTCCCTGCGGCTCCAGGAAGGTGGCTTGGGCTTGTAGCTGTGCATTCCAGGGTGCGTGGTGGATGTTCGTGCAGGCTTGACAGCTTCCATGTCGAGTGCCCAGAGTGCCCAGTGTGCGCCCGAGTCCTCTAGAATTTATAATCGAAGTGTTGGGAAGCTCCACTGGCTTTGGCGGCCTAAGGCTCCTCAAACACTGAGTGCCCCGGCCCAGGCTCGAGTGCTGTGCTCAGGCCGAAATCCGCGATCTTGACATTCCGCTCCTCGTCCAGGAGGAGGTTCTCGAGCCTGGGTCCCGTGAACGGTAGACCTGCATTCCGTCTACCTGTGAAGCGCTGTCCCGGCCCGTGCGTCTCCCGTTGTCATGCCCTGCTGGAGGTCGGCCGGTGCGCGCTTGTCTCGTGTGTCAAAACGGCCCCTACCCCACCCCACATTCCCCACTGTCCGCCAACCGAGCGAGCGAAAACTTGAAAGAGCCGTGGCTGCTCTCAAGCTCAAGAGGAGAGTAGGCCGACACCAACGTTGCGGGAAATGAATCTACAAAAACGGCATAAGCCCGTGCAGATGATGGGATGCTTTGGGAAGGGGGCGGCAACCAGAGATCCAAAAGACAGTGCGACATCACATTGGAGAACGCGTGCGAACCATGAAACAAGAGTGGGTTTGGAACCCTGAAACGGCAATTTATGAACCCCGCCTCGAAAATCGAGGTACCACGTCAAATCAACTGCAAACTTACGCCTTCTTAACTTTTTGACAGCTCTCGCCAGAGTGTGCTGTCTGGGCTAATTTCCGATTCGCACCAAGATCACTTTCGCTCCGTTCTCCGAGCTTCTCACCTGCGTGCTGAATTTCGGCATTTTGAGCAGTGTTCGTATTGGGATGATAGTGGCTGCTATTCAGGCTCTGTTTGGGCTGGGACGATAGGCTGTCGAGTACCCGAAATCCGAGAAACAAAGAAACCCCAAAGACTGACAACTTTAGCCCTTACCTGGGCTACCAGGAATACAGGATTAGGGCGCAGTCGTGCAACTTTAAGCACTAAACCGTTATAGAGCTTATGGTTTCCGCAGGTGGGGCAATTATTCTCTGGGTTCATCTTGGGATATGTTCATCCTGCCCTTTCTTGTGCCCAAGAACCCAAAACCCTAAACTCCACGTCCCCTTTTTGTATCGTTACTCAAAGCATTTCCTGAGGGGCTTGGGGTTTCAAAGACTGGCTCTGGGGGTTTAGGGTTTAGGGTTTAGGGTTTTGGGTTAAGGCCCTGGGGTCACCTTACCGGATTTAGGGGTTTAGGGGTTGGGAGTTGGGGGGCCTTTTGCGAGGAACTCCCAGCCTATTGACTCCTCAGTCGCAACTCTCAACCCATTATAAAGCCCTAGACATTCAACCCATGACCTGGAAACCTCCACCCTCAACCCTACAAGCCTCAACCCTAACCCTAGAATGCAGCTGCGGTTTGGGTTTGGGTTTGGAACTCAGGAGACCAAGATCCCCCCGTCAATGAGGTTGTATCGGGGTTTCAGCCAGGTAGGGCTTCGCCAATGCCTGTTCCAGCCTGTTTTAAGCCACGTCCATCTTGGTCTATTGGTCTAAAGCGGAGGCGGAGGTTCGCGAAAAAAAGATGTTCGGCCAGCTTCGTTCCCGTAAGTCCTTATTCCTACAGTAACCATATCGTTCTTCGAAAAGCCCTAAGCCCTAGACCAACTTTGTCTTTCCTATTCTTCCCTCTCTGTATACATATACTTTGTCCCACCACTGAATTTGAAGCAAGCCTTCACGAAACAGGACTATAGTGCAAACCGCAGATCCTGAAACAGCTGGTGGCTCAGGGCCCTGGCATACCTGACATTTAACTCTAAACCCTAAACGCTGAAGACCTCAACCCGGAAAGTGAAACTTTAAAAAACCAGCTGTTAGAAGCTGCTCACAGAGCGGGCAGACACGTCTCTGCTGTGGAAAACATAGCTTCATTCTCCATGAACAAAGCTGACAGCAGCGATCGCACCCAATCTACCGGAGCACAGTCGAAAACTTGAGGCAGCTGCGAAAATAATATGAACTATTCCCGAACCCTAAAAACGTAGAAAACCTAAGGGCTACACAGCTAACCAAGCCCTACACACCAGTAGACCAGTAGGAGGACGCTACACACCAGGTGCTTTTTCACAGAGAGGGCAAAAACGTCCTTGCTGTGGAAAACATAGCTTAATTCTCCATGAACAAAGCTGTTTGCAGCGATCGCACCCAGTTTACCGGAGCAATGGTGAAAACCTGAAGCTGCTGGGAAAAACTAGGAGACCAAGATCCTCCCGTCAATTAGGTTGTATCGGGGTTTCAGCCACGTAGGGCGTTGCCAATGCCTGTTCCAGCCTGTCTTAAGCCACGTCCATCTTGGTCTAAAGCGGAGGCGGAGGTTCGCGAAAAAAAGATGTTCGGCCAGCTTCGTTCCCGTAAGTCCTTATTCCTACAGTAACCATATCGTTCTTCGAAGGCCCTAAGCCCTAGACCAACTTTGTCTTTCCTATTCTTCCCTCTATGTATACATATACTTTGTCCCACCACTGAATTTGAAGCAAGCCTTCACCAAACAGGACTATAGCGCAGACCGCAGATCCCGAAGCAGCTGGTGGCTCAGGGCCCTGGCACCTGACATTTAACTCTACTAAACCCGGAAAGCTAAAGCCCACACACCAGCTGTCAGAATCTGCTCACACAGCGGGCAAAAACGTCTCTGCTGTGGAAAACACAGCTTCATCCTCCATGAACAAAGCTGACAGCAGCGATCGCACCCAATCTACCGGAGCACAGTCGAAAACTTGAAGCTGCTGGGAAAATATTTTGAACGAGGAGACCAAGATCCTCCCGTCAATGAGGTTGTATCGGGGTTTCAGCAACCTAGGGCTGTTCCAGCCTGTCTTAAGCCACGTCCATCTTGGTCTCGGAAAGCGGAGGCGGAGGTTCGCGCAAAATGGCTGTTAGGCCAGCTTCGCTCCTTTAAAGTCCTTATTTCTACAGTAACCATGTCGTTCTTCGAAAGCACTAAGCCCTACACCAACTTTGTCTTTCCTATTATTCGTAAGCCCTAAGCCCTACACCAACTTTGTCTTTCCTATTCTTCCCTCTATGTATACATATACCTTGTCCCACCACTGAATTTGAAGCAAGCCTTCACCAAACAGGACTCTCGTGCAGACTGCAGATTCTGAAACAGCTGGTGGCTCAGGGCCCTGGCATACCTGACATTTAAAACTCTACTAAACCCGGAAAGCAAAAGCCCATACACCAGCTGTCAGAAGCTGCTCACACAGCGGGCAAAAACGTCTCTGCTGTGGTTAACATAGCTGCATCCTCCATGAACAAAGCTGTTTGCAGCAATCGCACCCAATTTACCGGAGCAGAGCTGAAAATTTGAAGCTGCTGGGGAGATACTTTGAAGTATTCCCGAAACCCTAGAAAACAAACACAGAAACGGCAGAGCTCCGGAAACAGCTGGTGCGTTTAGGGTCCTGGCAGACCTGACTGTCAAGTGTGAAACCCAAGGGACCATGTTCTACCAAGAGCAAGGTCAGACGTTCAACCGCGGCGTCGCCGCTGCCTTGCCGGCCCTTCGTCGTCTGAGTGCCGAACATCGCGAGCTGCTTGCACTACATCTGGCACCACGGGCGGAACGTGGTGATGGAGTTGCCAGTGTTCTTCTAGCGCATAGCTATGCGGGCACTGGCCATCCCATGTCCACATCCAGCACGTACAGCGGCAGGAGTCATTGCCTTCAGTGTGCCAGACGCAGCAAAAAGTGCTCCAGAACTCCGAGTACCGATCCCAGTTCACCTTTTTCGGTGCACTCGGGTGCGCAGACTCGCCGGCATCCTGGAGGATACCCTCCGCCTCTAGTGCAGACAAGAGCCGCGCCTCTTTGCGAGCTTGCAAAAGGCGCCGCATCCTCTGCAGCGTACCTCTCGGCACAACACGTGGCTTGTTGACCGCAAGGCAAGCCCAGCGCGTGTTGCGACCCTCACCGTCGTCCATCTCGACAAACTGCGAGCCTGGCGCTTGTATGCGCCGCAGAAGGTGAGGTATCGGCGGAAAATACTCCAGGTCGCCAAAAGGCCTTCGGTGCCTCGCTCCTGCCGTGACTGAGGAATGGAAGAAGTTTGCGGGCTTTCTTTCCAACCGAATAAGAAAAGAATAATCCCAGTATCATCACATTATTATTGAGGGTTTTAATTTTGCCTCCTTCCCATCTGCAATCCTCGAGGTTCAAGCATCCAATCATCTGGCCGACGGGGTCGCTCGGCAGTCAAACAGTCGGGCGGCGCCATGAGAGACAAGGGCGCCTGCAGGTCAAACTTATGATTGGTTGGGGGGGAGGACATAGGGGCACAACAGAAGACTGATGACTAGGAATGGCTCGCCTGTGACCCCGCCAGACGATCTGCTTCGTGGATGTCAGACGTCCAAAGCACGCTCGCCTTGAGCAAGTTCTCAGCCACCATCTTGTGGGTCTTAGCTGGGCCTTGTCCCCTGACATCTGTCTTGATTTTTGAATTCGCAGCTTCGGCAGCCTGCTGCGTGCAAGGATGACCAGTCTGGGCTTTGGAACCCACGCCCACCCACCAACGAGCACTCCATATCAAGTCTTCTTGGAGTCCTGAATCCCTGGCGCAGGGGTTGCTGGGGACGACGAAGGGCTGAGAGGGCTGGAGGTTTTAAGTGAGGAGGTTTTAGGTGAGGTTTGAGCTTCGGGTTTAGGACCAATCCGAGCCTTGGGGGAGGGATCTGAACGAAATACTGCTCCTGCACATACTGCATAAACTTCTCCTCGCCCCAGCAAAATTTCATGCGCAAAAAAAGCGTCTTCGCCAGGATGTGGAACATGATGATCGTAGGGCAAAGCGCCAGGTGTGTGATGTTGTTGAGCACAGCCCAGACGGGATACTTGATCAGGTGGGGAGCGACGCCGAGACCCCTGCCGCGACCACGGCCGCGACCTCCACGGCCGCGACCTCCACGTCCACCAGAGCGCCCGGCCCGACGGGCAGGAGCAACGGCTCGGCCCCGCGCACCCCGAGCCCGCGGAGGCGGGCGGGCTGGCTCCTCGCCATCACGCGTTTCCTGCTTTTTCCCGCGACGGTCGTTTCCAAGCAAATTCCTTCGCAAATGCTCGAGGTCGTTGACGACCTGCGCTCTCGGCCAGACACGTTCGCAAGCGGTACGACTGCCTGTGAAGTAGTCACAATTGACTTGGCAAACAACATTCGCCATACCTCGACGGGCCAGCTCTGTC